GAAATGCCATAAATAAATGAGCCGGGCAAATAACAACTTAATTTCGCCTGGCTGAGCTTGGCCTGGGCAAATGCATTTTCATTTTTAGCATACTGGCATATGAATATATTTTCTCACCCATTTCACCGAGTCAGGTGGCTGGTGGCCGGTGGCCGAGTCTGTTGTGTCTCTATATCTCACACGCTTATCTCCCTCCCTGTCCACCTATATCTCTATCTTACCCGGGGTCTATCTGGGAGATTTGAAGTTTTTTTCGGTTTTTTGGATTTAGCTCTGTGGCTCTTTGGTTTTTGGCATGCGAGCCGCTTCCTCAAATAAACCGCACGGCATTTGCATGTTGAGAAACAATTTCTCAGGTCTTGTGTTCGGGCCTTGTTGATCTTGCTGGCTAACTACAGGCCGGGGAGTGGGGGCTGTGGACTGCTGACTGGATTATCTTGGCCCAGAGTCCGCCAAGAGCGGAGGCCTTTGATATATGCCACATGGCGATGGTCATAATATTTTTGCGCAATTCGGTTGTCGTCGGGCGGCTTTTTTCCACTCGATTTATCGATCGTTAAGTAAATGCATTAATTTTTCTCACCAGAGAAAACTCTGCGTGAATTTTCCAATTGCCAGCTCCGGGCATTGATTTATATTGGCACTGGTTAACCGCAAATCCCCCCAGCTTGTCAATTAATTATGGTCATGTAGAGTTGCAGTCTTTAATTTCTCACTCAATTCGGCGGCAATTGTCGGAATTTTCCAGTCACATGCTGACATGTTTTCCACCCAACAACTTTATCTTGGCTCTCGGCTTTTGATTTGTTTATTCAATTGATTAATTTTTTGTCTCTACCTTTTTGTTGATTAAAGTTAAGTAAAGAAAATCGAGAGCTACCGTCGTATTGTAAATTGTAGATCCGAGTGCTCATATTATAATGTTGTGTGCCGAGTACACACTTTTATGCAAAATCTTAATTAAACAATTTAAGAGCCGAAATAACTTTGCATTAAGTTGTTTGCTGTGGCTCGGATTTCAATGCACTCCACTCAAGTGGGCCCGGACAAAGAAAACCAATTTAAGCCAACACCTCGGACTGGGCCATGATTACAATACAAGAAATATGTTTTGAATTGAATCCGAGCCAGGCCACGATATTTGGCAATCTGGTAATCGTTTGAGCTCGGGCAGGCATTAGCCAAATGCTCCCAAAGACCAACTCGAGATTTTTGTATTCTCCATGGGTTAGGATTTCTTGAGTTTATGGGCCATTTTTGAACCGCCAACGAGCGCGACGATATCCATTAGATGCAAAGTGGGCGATTTTTAGTGGCGGCTTTTGAAATGCCAGCACAAAGGCATTTGCATGCGATTTGCTAATGATTCAAACTAAAATGATACTTGAAAATATTCTGCAATTCGTGATCATAGGCATTTGTCATGGATGAATGGCTGTATGTGAGTGTACTTTTGTAATTGTTTCAAGGTTTATGATGGAATTCTTTGAGAACTTTGTTGTAAATATATATTTATTGGAGAAAGAAGTCATAGAGTTTCTTCAAACTCATCTTTGAGGTGAGAGTAGTAAAGGGTATCATATAGTAGTCCTTAATATTGTATTGGTGGGAGGTGAGAATAGATAGTAAAATAATCATACAACCTTTAATATTACCTTACGAAATGTGTCAAGAGGTTGAAGTATCGGTTTCGTATAGTCTTTTAATAAATTACCACTTAAGTTAATGAGTTTCTCTTAGATTATTTATGTTTTAATTAATTTTCATTTCAATATACCTGATTTTCTAATGCAATTTTCTCAGGCCTCTAATCCCGCACACTTGCTGACCCTCTGCTGGGTTATGTTGTTTATTTTATGACATTTAAACAATTATTTTTCAACACAGGCAACTGTTGTTGAAATATCATTTGATTTAACCAGCCAGCTAGCCTGCCAGCCAGCCAGCCTGCCAACCAGCCAGTTGTCTAGGCCCACACCCTAATGAAAATGGCCAAAAACGAGTTGCAATTTCGGTTGTTGTGTTGCTGTTGCCGTGTTGCTGTTGAAGTGGCTGGTGTCACAATGTCTGGGACGGCAAATATCTGTGACGCAGTTGTTATCGTTTCTGTTCTTTCAAACGCCCCGCAGCCAAACATGAGATGTATATTTTATTTTTCATAATTTAAAAAATCGAAAGAAAAAAAATACCTGGGCTTTGATAGGAACCTGCTGTTGTTGTTGGCCGAAAATCGAATTCTTGAATGAACCATTAATCTTGTTGCCAGCTTCGGTCGGTCATTAAATTCTGTTGCAGTAATTGCATTCATTGCCTGCGTCTCTTGGCTTTTTGTTTTTTTTTTTCCAGCAGTTTTTCCAGCTTCTCAGTTTTCGGTTTCGTTTCAGTTTTTTGTGAGCAAATTAATGCGGGTTTGTCATATTACAATTACTATACTGAGCTCTTTTTTTGCTTCTCGCCGTTTTGTGTGGCAGCTGGCTTTATTACACCTGCGCCTGCAATATGCAACGAGACTCCCCTTGGGGCACCGTTCCGTTCCGATCCGGTTCGGATTTTGCAGTTTTATGGCCGATATAGTTTCGGACCGACTAGTCGGTCAATTGGCTCGTTCTGCTCATTTGTTTTTTCCACTGTAGAGCTGGGGGAGCGGTTAAAGTTCAGCCAGAATGGTTGACAGTTTATAAGTTTTCAAAAAATGATTTGTTTTCTGTTGCAAAAGTATTTCGGTGTGTTCTCACGATTATAATTTATCAGGAATTTTAGGGATTGGTTTACCATAGTTGCAAAAGAACTACAAAAGTAATTGCAATGTAAGGGGAAAACTTAAAAATATCTAATAATAGTAAGTAGCTCATAATAATAAGTAACATGTAATGGTCAAAGACCCGGGTGCTCCTTAACAAATTACGCTATTAAATGGCATCCTGTTTTCAGCCTTTTTATATCTCCGATCATCTCCAATGCACCATGGTGCAAATTTTATTGCACTTTTTGTTGTACGGTAGCCAGTGCCACACTCCCCTTTCTTTCTCTTCCAAGAGCCCGAGACACGCCGACAAATTGCACAAAGCGGGAAAAGTGAAAATCACCTTTGGAGATGTGATTTTTTTTCAATTTTCAAATTTTCCACGGCCCCCATGTATGGCAGGCATAATTTGTTAATTATTTTCCGAAGCAAGGCACTCGTGCGCCGTGTCCGTGTGTCCGCATGTCCGTACAACTTAATCAAAGTGATGGGGCCAATTAAAACGCCACCGCGGGAAGCCGACATCGATAAGATGTGAGGGGCTACGAACTAGTTTTAAAATCCCAAAGAAAGCCTTTCCACCGATCGATACCGAAATGGGAGGGGCAGGCAAAAGCTATAGCTAGAGCTAGAGCTGGAGGAGATTGCTCTGGGTTCGATGGCGCATCGAAACGGACCAAAGCGAACCGCAGCTTAATTACGACCAGATAGAGGCGGAACTCGGCCCACAGATGCCAATGGCTTGATCCGCAGATGGATAGGAGATCAAGCTGATGGCATTCCCCCAACTAATCCCAGTGGTTCACAGATCACAAATCAGACAAAGACCTTCAAAGTGGTGGATAGTTTGCTGAGTAGATTGCTTTTTAAAATGGATTTATCACCACTTTTTCAACTGAAACCCCCTCAAAAACTCTATATAAAACTTTAAAAAAAAGTCAGACAGTTGACAATCTGTAGGCAGACTGGATACAGATTGCACATCCTCCAGCGGAAGTGGGCGACTAGTGGTCGTGACTGCCAGACCAGAACGTGGAGTCCAGACATCCGCTGGAGGTGTTCAACCTGTCAGAGAGGTTCTCTGGCCAAAATACAATCATCAAACTGGCTCAAATTGAAAAGCTTCACAAGCCCTCCTATTATTTCAACAACTTTTTTGTTAAATCGATCGATATCTAAGTTCGATCCCTTTTTGGGGTTCAATTAATTTTGCAAACAATCCCTTCATAACTTTTGACCGATTCCAAAGTCCAAAGATCCTTTGGGAGCACAACCACCTGCCTTTCAATACACACATACGCACACACCTTCGGCCCGTCAATTAAATGGACTCTGTCTGGGGAAACTAACCAATTTCATCTTATTATCCCACACAGAACCCAGAAACGGGTTCTCAGCCTCAGCCTCAGTTTCTGGTTCTCGTTGTTCTGGACCGGCAATCACGTTTTGGAGCTCTTTTCTGTGTCATGTCCAGTCTGGGCCTGACCAAAAAAAAATCACTATATATATATGTAGAAATTTTTATGTGGGGAAAAACAAGAGAAGGCTAAAAGCCAACGCAGACAGAAAATGATTTGCAGTTCATTAAGACGAACAGACCCCATGATCCCCCCGAAGGAGGCGAGCAATAGGCGATGACTAAGTCACCGGATCGGGGCTGTTCCATGTGGTCCATGTGAATGAGATTGGATTCAGCTGAGTCCCCGACAGACCCCTCCAGAGGACAACGGTCAACGCAGACACTGCTGGCGTTGTCATGCATTGCCAAGTGCAAACATGCACTTGGAAAATAATAATATTGAAAGTTTCATAATTTCTGAAAGTCTGAAGAGCTTTAGTTTAAGATTTCCAATAAAAAGGATAGTACTTATATTGTAAAAACAATTTCCTCTTAAGAAGGATATTTCTCCAAGTGTCAGACCCACCAAGACCTAGACACTCCAGATAATAATGTCTGGACTGGGTGGGCAGACTTCTGGATAAGCATGGAAATATTATGGATTAGGGCTAGCTAAGTGGGTTGAGCAAGGTGGGATTAGGTGTGTCTACAAGCTTGTTGGCCTAAACGCTTTCATAGCAAGTTCTCCAGCCACCAGCCAGCGATGGCCCACACCCTGGAGCCGGCTCACATGTGACCAATCGATGATGGAACGCCTTTCCTTTGGGGCCTTTGGGTCTAAACTTTAGTGACTTTCATCATTGATAACTCCCCGAAAGTTGTTCTCACCTCTAAAATGTTTTTTTGATTTTTTTTTAGCAGCACCGCCAGGAGTCGCAGTCGCCGGATTACCACCACCGCTATGCCAGCAATGGAAAATTGCCCCGGGCGGCGGCCTCCACCAATGGCAATGGCACCACACAAACCGTCACAGTCGATGTGCACCATCACCAGAATGGTGGAGCCACCAAGCAGTTCATGGCCAGCAACGGCAACAACAACAACAACAGCAACCACATTGGCAGCATCAACCACAGTCGCAGCAGCAGTCTGAGCCACAACATCCATGCGGTGGCATACAGCGAACTGAGTGCCGCACCACCGGCCTTTGCCACACCACCCACGCGAAGGCGGTTCTTCAACCACAAGAATCTGCGCAACGCTCTCACCGGCTCCAGTGGAGGCGGAGCGGGAGGTGGTGCTGGAGGAGGCGGCGGCCACAGACGCACTGCCTCCAATGGAGGTTGTCCCATTGACACGGCATCGATCCTATCCGGCGGTAAGTTCAGAATGTGCTCAAGGTGTCGGGGTCAGGGGTTAGCATAGACTTTTCTTGAAGTAGAGACTTTATTTAGTTTTTGGTGAAGGTATTTATTTTTATACTTAATTTTAAAGTTTTTAGGTTTCAATGGCATTTATTTAAGAATAACAAACAAAAGAATTAAACGTATTAGAAATATCAGTAATAGAATATCAGTATCAGCCAAGTGAAGTCTCGAATGAAATCCCAAAAACTTTCCTCGAAAAGACATCTCATCCATCATCCAACCATTAGATCACCATCACAATCAGCACCAACATGACCCTGAGCAGCAGGTCACCGGCAAGGAATCGAACGCCCTCAATACCTCCACATGCTCGGATTCGGCGGTCACCCGGCGGCGTCGTAAGAACGTGAGCAACCACAACCTGAAGACCACCTCCGCCCAGCATGGGGCCAGCAGTGAGAACCGCCTGAACAGGCTCAGCCTGGCAGGGACCTCCGTCTATGCCGGACATCTGTCGTCGTTGGTCTTCGGGAAGATCAAGTCCTTGTGGAGCGTCAACTCCTCCAACTCCAGCGAGACGGGATTGAATCAACTATCAGGCAGGGACATTTCCACACTCGCATCCTTCATTCTGCATGCTGCATCCACGTTGATTGCATCTCATTATCCTAATCCTTTTTTCATTATCCTAATCCTTTTTAATTCCTGTTATCCTATCCGCGTTTAGCTTCCCTTTCCTGTACTCGATTTTAAACTTGTAACCCTCCAACTTGGCTGCCCACCGACCCAAACGCTATCTCAAATCGGGCTGTGACATGAGCCACTGCAGCGACGCATGATCTGAAACCACGGTGAATCTATGCCCCTCGACATACGGTCTGAAACGATTGATGCAGATGATCGCCGCCAGACACTCTTGCATGTTGACCTGGGACTTTCAATTCCCAATTAACCTATTTTTAAGATTTTTCTGCGTTGTTTTTAAATATTAAAAATTATTTTAAAAAAATCTAAACCTTACTTACCCTTCATATCCTTACTTACCCACAGGAAGCGACGCCTTGGACCATTCTCACCATTCCTCGTTGTTGAACGAGAAACTCCAGAAGGATCAGCTCCATGCCCGCCTAGGACTCCTCCTCAACGATCCGGGAAGCAATGGCAATACCAGCAGTAGCGGCAGTGGTTGCGACCCCATCTCAGTGCACTCCACCGCCAGTACCACCAGCAGCAGCGGCGTGGGAGCTGCCAGCACCACCACCAGTGGCTCCTCCCAGAACACCAGCCCGGAGCAGACGCTGACCATCGGCGGTGGGCTTTTTAGTGGGAGCCAACTCTCGGTGGCCACCAGCCATGTGAAGGAGGATGCTCTGAGCTTGTGCGGCAAGTTTAAGGCTGGCTGCTCCATGTTGCATGTATACGAACCGCTGCCGAGCAAGGGCAGGAAGGGACCAGCTCGGAGGTCCACCCGAGGACAGCAGGGTACCTCCAGCTCCTCTACGGCAGCGGCGTCGGCAACTGGAGGATCCAGAGGACTCACAGCCTCCACTTTGGCGGCTGTCCAATTGGCTCTTAAGCCCCTCTTCTTTGAGGTGCCCCTCCAGGAGCCAGATCCTCCGTACTTGGGCCGTCAATGGCTGGTCCAGCAGCTCTCCAACATCCTGCTAGGCACCGAAACCCGGGTGGTTCTGATCAACGGACAGCCGGGCACCGGAAAGACCGCCTTCTGCCTCCAGCTAGTGGAGTACTCCTGTTTCGGTCGCCGCCAGATGCAGGACGACCCTGAAGGCATCTACAGCCAGCTACAACTTGGCGCCCACTGCGAGCGAATGCGGGGACTGGCCTCCCACATGGTGGGTTATCACTTCTGCCAGGCGGACGCCAACCTAACCTGCCAGGTGCCGGACTTTGTGCACTCCCTGGCCGCTCAACTGTGCCAGGCTCCGCAGCTGACCGCCTACAGGGACTACCTCCTGTCCGAGCCCCATCTCCAGGACATCCTGAGCGTTCGCGAGTGTATAGCCGATGCGGAGCGAGTGATGAAACTTGCTATTCTGGAGCCACTTGCCCAGCTGCACCGAGCCGGCAAGATTCCGGCGAAGGTGGCTGTTATCGTGGTGGATGCCTTGTGCGAGGCGGAGTACCATCGCCCGGATCACGGACACACCATTGCCAGCTTCCTGGCGCAGCTCACTCCACACTTCCCGACCTGGCTGAAACTGGTCGCCACTGTGCGCACCCAAATGCTGGAGCTGGTGAAGGCTCCAAGCTATACGCAACTTACCCTAGACAGCTGGACCAGTAGCCAGGCCCTGCAGCAAGATATGCTGGACTACATTGCCGCCCGGCTGGCAGACAGCCCGGAAATCAGGATGAACATCGGCGGCGGAGGAGTAGCCGGTGCCCAGTCCTCGCAGGGATCTCAATCGCAGACGAAGTTTGTCTCCCACTTGCAGACCTTGAGCCGGGGCTCCATGCTATATGCCAAGCTCATACTGGATCTCATTGCTCGGGGCCAGTTGGTGATTAAGTCCTCTAGCTACAAGGTGCTTCCAGTGTCCCTGGCCCAGATCTTCCTGTTGCACTTCAACCTGCGCTTCCCTACCGCCCGGAGCTTCGAGCAGGCGGCTCCCATTCTGAACATCTGTCTGGCCGCCCTCTATCCCCTGACGCTGGACGAGATATACTACAGCATGGAAGCCCTGGGTCACGGCCAAGAACCGCTCAGTTGGCCGGAGTTCATGCAGCGCTTCAAGTTGCTAGACGGATTCCTTATTAAGAGGTTGGACAATACTTACATGTTCTTTCACAGTTCCCTGAGGGAATGGCTGATGCGGCGGGATGAGGGCGAGTCGAGCAAATTCCTGTGCGATGCGAGACTGGGCCACGCGGCTATCGCCTTCCGACTGTCCCGTCTGCAGGCTCCACTCTCGCCCCAACTCACACTGGAGCTGGGCCACCACATGCTCAAAGCTCATCTCTACGGAGGCTGCAGTCAGGCGGTGCTGTCGCCGAGGGACTTACAGTCCTACTGGCTGGCCGGAGCGGCGGACAACATCTCCGGATCACTGGGAGCCTTGCGCAACGTCTACAGTCCAAATCTGAAGGTCTCACGCCTGGTGCTCTTGGCCGGAGCCTCCCCGAATCACCGCACCGACTACATGGGCGGAGCACCCATCCTATGCATCGCCGCCCATGAGGGCATCCTGCCCATGGTGAGCCTGCTGCTGGAATTCGGCGCCGACGTGGGTCTGACCAACAGCCAAGGCTGCACCCCGCTCATCCTCGCAGCCATGCGCGGCCACTGCGATGTGGTGCGTCCTCTGGTGGCCGCGGGCAGCAGCCTGGGCCAGCTGGACATCACCCAGCGGTGTGCTCTGGTCCATGCCGCTCGCATGGGACACCTGACTGTGGTCAAATACCTTCTAGCTTGCGACTGGACGCCACGTCCCCACTCCCAGGACGTGACCCGTGCAGTGGCCCTGCAGCAGGCCCTGATAGGGTCTGCGGCCCAGGCCCACTGCAAGATTTTGGAGGACCTGCTGGACCTCAACGAGAGTGAGTTTGATCTGGATGTGAACGGAATGGAGCCGAGCAGCGGTGAGCTAGCCTTGACCGCCGCCGCCCGCCACGGTTGCGTCGACGTGGTGGGCATACTGTTGTCTCGCGGCGCTCAGATCGATGCCCGGAACAGGCAGGGGTATTCAGCGTTGTGGTTAGCCGTCAAGGAAGGACACTGGAGCGTGGTAGAGCAGTTACTGCAGCGTGGAGCCCTGCTGGATGAGCCTCTGGGCCAATCCAGAAAGACTCCCTTGATGATAGCTGCAGAGGAGGGACACTTGGAGCTGGTGGAACTCCTCATAGCTAGAGGGGCCTACCTGGAAGCACAAGATCACGAAGGATTCACGGCACTGAGCTGGGCTTGCCTGAGGGGACACTTGTCGGCGACCAAGACCCTCATCGAGAACGGCTGCAATCGCCATCACGAAGACCACAACGGACGAACTGCCCTTGATCTGGCGGCCTATCAGGGTGCCGCCGGTCTGGTGCTTTACCTTCTGGAGCAGGGTGGAAACTTGGAGCACATAGATGTACATGGAATGCGGCCGCTGGATCGCGCCATTGCCTGCCGCAACATCCAGGCGGTGCAGGTGTTTCTGCGCAAAGGCGCCAAGCTGGGACCCACTACATGGAGCATGGCCATGGGCAAGCCGGAGATTCTCGTGGTGCTGCTCAACAAACTGCTGGAGGACGGCAATGTGTTGTACCGGAAGAACCGCTTCCAGGAGGCTGCCCACCGGTATCAGTATGCCCTGCGCAAGATATCCGGCCTGGAGCAGCTCCTCGAACGGAACGCGGTCTTTGCCCAGCTGCGGACTAATCTTCTGCTGAATCTGTCGCGATGCAAGCGAAAACTGAATGTAAGTTAAGATTATTCTAAGTTTAAAATTTCATTTAACTTATCGTTTGTGTTTCAGGAACTTGATGCCTCGATAGATTTAGCCACGCAGGCGATTGCCCAGAAGCCACACAGCTACGAAGGATACTACGCCCGGGCGAAGGCGCGCATGGAGCTGGGTGCCCTGAACGAGGCCCTGGTGGACGCCAACGATGCCATGCAGCAGGCCGCCCAGAGCGGAGTGCTCTGCGAGGTGGTCGAGGTACTAAAGCGGATTCAGACCGAGCTACTTACCCGCATCACCATCAGCAGCGAGGAGCGGGAGCCCGGAAAGCTGGCGCATATCGGCGGCGGAACCTCCTCCTCGTCCGTCTATGAATCTCACCACGAGATCACCGATTTGTAAATGTCGATTGTTGTTTATTCGAATTAATCGGTATACACAATATAGAGATGTCCTTTTAGGTCTAATGTTTGCTATTTATTGCCTTCAAATGTTTTTTTCAGAGAAATATTTCTCTAATTCATTTAATAGCCTACTTTGTAACTGTATCTACGCATGTAAAAATTAGTTGTATACAAATGCCTAATTTAAGCTTCAGTTCTTATTAATACATTTTAAAAATATACTTTAACTAAATTCGAATTTCTTTAAGTTTAAATAAAAAAAATATTTAAAAGAATAATTAACACGTCATTTTGTGAAGTAAGCTTTTTGGTATAAAAATTAAATGGGAAGACATGTTTTATAATTGTATTGCATACATTTGGGCTTCTACAAACAATTATTTTGAAAGTTTTCTAGATTTTTATACCCTTGCATTATAATTTTGTTAGCTCTCGGTTATAAAGCTATCGACATTCCAGGTTGTATGGAAGTATCCTTTGCACGAAGTATAGTACAAGTATATATGAAAGTCGGAACGGTTGGGATCGCCAAAATACACCCTAAATATGCCAAATAACTGGATGATAATAACTTGTAACTGAAAATTGGAGAAAAATTTAACAAATATTTCATCTCAGGATTTTGATGCAGAATGGTGGAGAATCGATCTAGAAATCGTCTAAGGTATTCCGCTTAAGAATCGGATAAGAATTGGGGAAGATATGGTCTTCCCAGTGGACCCTACTGGGGAAAACCGCATTTTCAAGGGATCCCCCCACGAAAAATGGACAAAAAATTTAAAAAATATTTTGTCTCAGGATTTTGATGCAGCATAGTGGATAATCGATCTAGAAATCGTTTAAGGTACTCCGCTTGAGAATCGGATGAGAATTGGGGAAAATATAGCCTTCCCAGTGGAGCCTACAGGGGAAAACCGCATTTTCAAGGGATCCCCCCACGAAAAATGGACAAAAAATTTAAAAAATATTTTGTCTCAGGATTTTGATGCAGAATGGTGGAGAATCGATCTAGAAATCGTTTAAGGTACTCCGCTTGAGAATCGGATAAGAATTGGGGAAAATATAGCCTTCCCAGTGGAGCCTACAGGGGAAAACCGGATTTTCAAGGTATCACCTCCTTGTCTTTGTCTCAGGATTTTGATGCAGAATGGTGGAGAATCGATCTAGAAATCGTTTAAGGTACTCCGCTTGAGAATCGGATAAGAATTGGGGAAAATATAGCCTTCCCAGTGGAGCCTACAGGGGAAAACCGCATTTTCAAGGGATCACCTCACGAAAAATGGACAAAAAATTTAAAAAATATTTCGTTTCAGGATTTTGATGCAGAATGGTGGAGAATCGATCTAGAAATCGTTTAAGGTATTCTGCTTAAGAATCGGATAAGAATTGGGGAAGATATGGTCTTCCCAGTGGACCCTACTGGGGAAAACCGCATTTTCAAGGGATCCCCCCACGAAAAATGAAAAAAATTAAAAAAATATTTTGTCTCAGGATTTTGATGCAGAATGGTGGAGAATCGATCTAGAAATCGTCTAAGGTATTCCGCTTAAGAATCGGATAAGAATTGGGGAAGATATGGTCTTCCCAGTGGACCCTACTGGGGAAAACCGCATTTTCAAGGGATCCCCCCACGAAAAATGGACAAAAAATTTAACAAATATTTCATCTCAGGATTTTGATGCAGAATGGTGGAGAATCGATCTAGAAATCGTTTAAGGTACTCCGCTTGAGAATCGGATAAGAATTGGGGAAAATATAGCCTTCCCAGTGGAGCCTACAGGGGAAAACCGCATTTTCAAGGGATCACCTCACGAAAAATGGACAAAAAATTAAAAAAATATTTTGTCTTAGGGTTTTAATGCAGGTATTCCGCTTGAGAATCGGACAAGAATTGGGGAAGACATAGCCTTCACTGTGGGCCATATAGGGAATTAAATTCTTATAAGGATCGGCCTACTATATGCCATATATGCGATACATATCCGATCTTAACCGCAAGGGTATACAAATTCGGGAATCAACTTATTGTTTAAGAAATAAAACATTATTTTATAGGATTTATAAAAACACTTTTAATTTTAAACAATTTTAAAACAATTATAAAAGATTCTTAAACATATAATATATACACAATACAAATTTAAGCTATTCGAGCACAAATGACAACTTAAATAGGGAACACTTTAAAAAGGAATGGACAAGTTAAAAATGAAATGTTTTCAAAACTAAATACTTAAATTGGAAGATGAACAGAGTAGAGAGGTTTGTGCGGATAAATAAATAAATCTTACAATTTCTGAGAAATGTGCAAGGCAGTTGAACGTTGTGCCACCAGATTTCTTAAGTACAAGTATAAACTTAACGATATCCTATAGATTACATCATCAAATCGATTTTGCATTGAGTTTACACAGTTCTGTGGGTTCCCTATCGTCGCAATGATTCAAGCGCGATTCGACAAGGGGAGCTGCAATCTGCAAGTGCAGAACATAATCGGGAGCTGAAAGAAGAATCTTGTTAGTTTCCAGACATAACAATAATCTACTCTAAATGGGTGAGTGTGTGGTGGAAGAGTGGTGGATGTGGCGAGAAATCATACAGAGGAGCAAGCTGCAAATGAAAACAGAGCATAAGCATATAGGGTTTGCGGAAAGAATGTTTTAGGAATGCGTAATCATGATATTAAATACCAAATCTAGGCTCACTTTGCTCCAGAATGCTCTCCAAGTCATCGGGGCTGTCTATCGTGGGAAAATCAATGTTGGTCGACTCTTTCAGAATAACGGTGATGTCCTTATGGGCGCTCATCAGGAACAAAGGCACATTCGCCTTGGCCAGCTCCTTCTGCAGAGATCCCATGCCTCGAGCGGCTGTAAAATCAAAGTCTGCAAAAGAAAATAGTAAGTTATTAGAGGAAACCTTTTAAAATTATTGTCTAGATAGCTAACCATGAACATGAGCGCAGTCCAGCACCACTGGAGCAGTTCCATGAGTGGTCAGCGCTTTGGAGATGCCCGATCGCACCCATTCCACGGCTGGGAAGTACAGAGAGCTGTGTTTTGGACGAATCAGGATGTAGTTAATACCATTGCTGGTCTGCAGCTTGGAGACACTGAGCACAGGTCGGGCGGCGCGATAAACGAGGAAGGCTACATCGGCTCCCACACCCAGCAGTAGGCCAATCTCTACACCCACAGCCAGACTCATTACAAAGGTAATGGCACCTGGCAGCAGCTCTCGACGACTGCAGCGCCACAGCGGACGGATGACCTCGAACTCAATCATGAATATCACAGCCGAGATGATGACTGCACTAAGGGCTGCCTTAGGGATGTACTGGAAGTAGGGAGCCAGCAGGCCCAGCGCCAGGAGAACCAGCACACTTGTATAGCAGCCACCGATCGGTGTCCTCACACCACTCGCATGATTCACAGCACTTCGCGAAAAGGATCCTGTCACGGGCATGGAACTGCAAAAGGCACCGCAAATGTTGCTCATCGAGAGGGCAACCAACTCCCTCGTCGGACTAAGACCGGCTCCTCCAAAGGCTTTTGAAATGGCCACATTGCCAAGAACGGCAATAATGGGTAAAATCAGCATGGAAGGACCCAGTTCCGAAAGCTGAGAATTATAATAGAAATGGAATACTTAAATAAGTATATACTTCGGTCTAAACGATATTAAAATAAATCATTGGCTCACTTAAGTAGCAACTGCTGGCCAAATTAAAACCGGATTGAACCAATTTTTGTATAAAATGTCAAAGCAATTAAACTTAGCAACTGATTCTCAGCCTGGTCTTACCATTTGCTCAAAGTTCTGGGATATTTCTGTGGCATTCTTGTCCAGAATGGTTGTCTCGAACTTCGGCACTGCCAGCTTGGGCAGGCCACTTTTCACCTTGCCCGTGAGGATGTACGGACAGCTGTCCATCTGCTCGCAGGTGCTGTAGGCCAGAACACTGGTGACTAGCACAACCAGAGCATTGCGACCAGTGGCTATGACCCAGATGGTGCCGCTGATGAGTTGCTGTGCCCGCAAGCTCCGCACTCGGCCATCCAGCTTCACATCTTTGAGTTTCTAAAAGAATATAATAAGATTATAGAAGATATTAAAATGATAAAGCATTTAAACTTACCCGCAGTAACAGTAACACTGTGATGGAGACCAATCCCAGGGTAAAATCACCACGGCGCACTTGATGAAGATTTCCGAACACGGAGCGCATGGTGTGGATGAAGTCCGAGCCGGAGCCACCCTTTAGCCCCAGAAGACCCTTCAGCTGGGAGGTGCCAATGATGACTGCGGTGGCTGAAGTGAAACCCACCGTCACTGGCAGTGAGATGAGGTCCACCAGGGCTCCCAGCTTCAGCACCGCCATTCCAAGTTCCACAATTCCCGATATAAGGCACAGTAATATCGCATACGCTGGACCCGATCCCAGACCGAAGCCCGTGTGCCGGCTGGTCATTAAAGCGAGTAAGGCTGTGGGTCCGATGGTTACCTGCCGGCAGCTGCCAAGCATGGCGTACACGATTCCGCCCACAAAAGCCGAGTACAGGCCGTACTGGGGCTCCAAGCCGGCCAACGTAGCATAGGCCAGACCCTGGGGCAGCACCGTGAGACCCACAGTGATGCCAGCTATCAGATCCGCCACTGCATCCTGGCCAGTGTATCCTTGCAGCCACTTAAGGCCCGGCAGCAGTCGATATCCCCAATCCCTGAGAGTCATGTTGTAGGTATCTGTAAGATAAAGAGACTTGTTAGAGTTCGAAAGCTTTATAACAAAACTATTACACCACACAGGTAATAATCCTCAGAAAGAACTGGAAACCCATTGTACAATAAAATCAGTGTTCTAGTAGGTTCAATGACTTACTTTGCATAATTATATATCTGATCTGATCTTCTGCGTGACAGACAAGCCTATTCAAAAGTAGACTCGCCCGTTTGACGAAAAGAAATTCAAGAACCCAAGACATTGGAGAAAAATACGAGTTTCTGGTAAACAAATAAAACTCTTCCCTCTAATAGGTATGGTATTACCTAAGAAACTTAATGATTCTGTTTATTTTACAAGTCACAAATGTTTAAACTCTCAATTTCTCTAGACTTTTAAACAATACAAATCTATTTATTTAATACCCACACCTAATGCGAATATGATTGATGTTCTGGAATACAATTAACTTTTCAAAAACTGATGAAATTATTAATACTTCTAGAATGAAGCTTCAATAAACTATTTCAACATTTCCAATTAGTTTTCTAGACACCTTCGATAAGAACTCAAAACAAAAACAGAGATATAGCCATCAGGGGGAGAGCCAAGGTAGTTGAGACATTAGGGTTTATTGACGATCCCAGTAGGTTGTCTTGAAAAACTCACGTAAATATTTGCGCAAATGTTTTGGTGTTGTGGGCGAAGAAAGGGGCACGTTCTAGCGTCCTCGAAAGCCCAGAGTTTCCAATTGGTATTCGCTTATTTCAGCCAAGTTTCGATGGCTCTGTAGCTGTTCTGGTTGCTTCGGGAGCTGGGCCAAGACTGAGCCGGCAAAGCTGGTCTGCAGATCGCGTGCCCGAAGAATAACTGAATAACTGATCGGTGATCACACGACCGCCTCAATTAACTCAACAAGTGGCTGTGATGGCTTGAAAGTATTGGTTCGGATCGCTCCAAACGTGATCAAATTGTCCAATATTATGGAAACAAATACGGACACGAGATATGCGCACGTAAATTAAATTTCGCATTGTTTTGCAGGCGATTTATTTACAATTTAGAACCAACAATGATTCGGTGAATATGAATAGGTTTTGTTATATCATTTAATGACAATTAGGTGTTGAATAGAAGGCTGTTTACACAATTTTACTAACTATTAAATTACTAAACATTGTTTAACTTAAATGCTGAAATAGAGCATGTAAAGACTACGTATTTAAAGCGGATTTTAAACCATTTAGGTTAGTTTAATAAATACAACAGTCAGTTTAACTTATTAGGCAGAATTTGCGAGAATTTTTGCCATAAATTGAAAATTTAATTCAAATTCTTGCTAATCAGATACTTTGTCAATTATACAATATATTCAAGGGCGCGATAAGAATGTGTACTTATCAGTATGGAATTGCTTTCTGCTTTAACACCACTCAGCAATTTATGAAAGGTTCGCCTCGCATAACAGAACCGGAAAATTGTAAATCAAAAGCAATAACAAAATAAACGTGCAACCCAAGACGGGAAGAGTTTGTTAACCCTTTGAAGAAACTGGTGAAATCCAACCAATCTCAGATAAATAATTAAGCGCTGGAGAGTATATACATGTACATAATTGAAGATTGTTGACAGACATCGTGATGGAATCTGCTTCGTTTTTCTTTCCTCTGAATTTCGCCTCGCATACCTAAAATAAAAACTAGTTTTCGACGACTCGTAATTGTAAACAAATCATCAAAAAGACAGGGGTACCAATTGTTGTTTAGTGATTGTTTATTTTTAACGCGAGCTGTGGCTAGGAGAATTAGCACTGGCGGAAGCTGCAGAAAATAGGCCACGGAAGAAAGCAGGGCACTCACACAGATGCACACGACGGCACTTGTTGGCTGACGACGGCTAACTTTCAAAAGATTTAACGCACATCTTTTTAGCCGGTGCAATTTTGCCAAAAATATGGCCTAGTTATCGGCCCTGACGCCGATATAATTTTTTAGTCTGGCAGCCCTACTCTTTTGGTATTGTACAGCACTGAAACTAGGCAGTCGCTTATCGAAAAAACTAGTGATGTCGCTTAAGATATGTTTCCTTTGAAACTTATCCGACATAAAATTCGTATATTTTGTACATACATACATATGTACGAAAACTCAAAATTCAAAAATTGTGGCATAATTCATCGTACTTATCGATATTCTTTTGCCTTGTCATTTGCCAGCACTGAAAAGCGTTTTCTAACGTTCGCCAACACTGGCTCGCAAATCATCCATTCTTGTATTATTATGGCCAATCGCCGAGTTTGCTGACCATCTAATACGTTCAAGTCGCAGGCATAGCTATTTCGCGAGGACTTACAGATAGTGCTACATCTAAGTACCGATTCCGTGCAGTGGGATCGCCGCACAGGAAGAGAAAACGCCGAAAACGAAGCCTATTCCCCTCGGTTTTCCCTTTCGGGCGAGAGACGCCGACCAGCTAAATATTTTCCTGCGGTAGCATAAGGTTACACAGTCCGCCACAGCAATGAAATGGGTAAGATTCGTAACTGTCCCGAGTTCAGGGGTGGGCCCCGTCTTTTCGCTTAGCCCTCCAGATATTGTGGTCTCGGTTTCCCCCATGCGAAAAACTGCAAGTGCATCGCTGAGTGTGTGTATGTGTGTGTGTGAGTGCAGTCTCAGGGCGTTCTAACTGTTTCTGTCTTCGGTTGCCGCTGAGGCTTGCGAAAATTTCAAGGGTTCCTTCGCGGGGCGAGATCCCCAGGGCACCCGACTGTCAACGAAACACCCTCCCCTAGAAGAGGCAGAGTGTAGCCCTGCTCCCTGGAGAATGGTAGAAATGTCACTTTTTCGGTTGCTACGATTGAAATAAAATCCGATTTTTCCCCCTCTTCGTTGGAGTAGTTCAGTGCACATTTCACTGCAGAAGTTAGGAGTCATCCCTTTTTTGACAAAAGGAACAAAAATTTTATTTTCTTCATCAAAATTTTAGTGAAAGTCTTTGAAAATAATTAAATTCATCTGCAATTGCTTCAAAATCAGTCAATTTTTACAAGAATTTGGTGTTAAAATTAGGTGTTCTTGCAAAAAAAACAAGAGTTTAAAGTAGAGAAGCTCCAACGTTCTGTTCCAGGCTCTACTGAACCGCGACCTTTGAGCAGTTAAGTCCATTAAACCGAACAATACCTGAGGGGATCGGGATCTTGTTGCTTAAGACTCGGTCATAGGTCAGTGCGAAGAGGTGGCTGAGGCGACGGTGCAGAGTGCGCACCAGGCGACGACCGGCGACGATGTAAGTAGCGGCCCATCGTAATCCCATCCATCCAGTAACCACCACCTCCAAGCCTTTCGAAAATATGCCTTTGACTGTTTATTATTTGTTTTAAGTTTCATTGTAGCTGCAACAAAATTTCAGCACCTTCTAACCAGCAGAATTGGCCAACTCTTCGTTATAAACTGTCTCTCTCTCTCTTTAGTTTCGCCAAATCGTGTTTAACCAATTGGTCCGGCTATTTTGTTATGTTGCTAACCCCCTCCTCCCAAGAACACGCCCACACCAAACATATTTGTTGTCTTAATAATCTACACACACTGTTTTTAGTTTCGAAATTACAAAAGTCTAGTGTTCTAATTGGCAGTGAAAGCCAGACTCGCAACAAGACATGTTTTGTTTAAATTATTTCCTATTCGATTGCTTCTCGTCCTCGCTAGGACAGACACAAGTACACTGTTTACCCACAAATGTATCCCAATATCTAATCTATGTATTATACCCCATCGCAGACAATGCCCTCTGCCATTAGTGGCGCGGCCCACGGCCAGGTGCACATACCCAGCAACGAGGAGTGCGGCATCCGGGACGTGTGGAAGCATAATCTGGAGGAGGAGTTCCGCACCATCCGGAAAGTGGTGCAAAAATACCATTATGTGGCCATGGACACTGAATTCCCGGGAGTGGTGGCGCGACCGGTCGGAGAGTTCCGCTCCACGGCGGACTATCACTATCAGCTGCTTCGCTGCAATGTGGATCTATTGCGAATCATTCAGCTGGGACTGACCTTCATGGATGACGAGGGCAAGACGCCACCGGGCTACTCAACATGGCAGTTCAACTTTAAGTTTAATCTAAGGTGAGGGAGTTTCCTCCTCTTTTTCCACAGCTGGGGTTCAAAATCTTGCCAATAGATAAGTCTAGGTCCTTGACAAAATGATGTGGTATCGGTTTTTAATCCTCGATGCACATTACTCTCTTTTTCCATCCCCAGCGAGGACATGTATGCACAGGACTCCATCGATCTGCTGCAGAATTCCGGGATTCAGTTTAAAAAACACGAAGAGGACGGCATCGACCCCATTGAGTTTGCGGAGCTGCTCATGAGCTCCGGCATCGTTTTGGTGGACAACATCAAGTGGCTGTGTTTCCATTCCGGCTACGACTTTGGCTACCTCTTGAAGCTGCTCACCGACCAGAACCTGCCCGCCGACGAAGGCGACTTCTTCGAGCTGCTGCACATCTACTTCCCCAACATATTCGATATTAAGTATCTGATGAAGTCGTGCAAGAACCTGAAGGGCGGCCTGCAAGAGGTGGCCGACCAGCTGGAGCTGCGTCGAGTTGGCCCCCAGCACCAGGCCGGCTCCGATGCCCTGCTGACGGGCATGGCCTTCTTCAAAATGCGTGAGGTACAGCATACAAATGATTTGCACTTTGACCTAGCCGCGCCGATCGTACTCTTTCCCTACCTGCTTGAGCACACAATGCACGTGAAGCCGTCGGTCGGCCGGGTGAGCCTGTTGACGCCAGCTCGTTCGGCCAATCTGGGGGATGCAGGTGCCAACAACAACGGCAACTCATCCGGCGAGCTGCTCACATCGAGCTCCTTTCCGGTCACGCCCCCCATTTCGCCGGCGACCACGTCGACTGGGGACGATGACAGCTCGTCGCTGGGCTACTATTATCGCGTCCTGTCGGACTCGCTGTCCAACAGCACATCCGACTACTGACACTATAAATCTTGGCCTTTGCACCTCCACATATTCATTGTCTGTTATTCATTACCCGGCATATACTAGTAACCATTACTCGATATCCATTAGGCTTAAGGTGGATCACGGCCTCCGGGCACTCATTATTTCTTATTTAGTTTATATCTTATATTGGACTTGCATATAGCACACGAAGTGCTAGTAACTGAAGTTGACTAATTTGAAGTTTTAGTTAGTTTGAATTTATTGAAAAACATGTGAAACATGCTTGTTATAATTTTAAAAAAGCTTGCACTGCGAGAAGCGCAGAGAAGATGACGGATTTGATGGATTTGAGTGGAAAATTAAATGGATTGATATTAATTTTCATTTTAAAATATTTATTTTTTAATTTTGGTATCTGGGCATTTAAGTATCTTGTATTACTCGAGTGGCATGGTTTATTTCGTTCCAGTGGATAAACACAATACTGTATAAAATCACTACTATTTTTAGTTTGTAGTCTTAGCTTTAAGTTTGAATTTATAATTTGATTTGCCGGATTTCGTATTAAAACCATGTTTCATATCTTTTATAATTTTAAGATCTTTGTTGAAACAAATTTCCATACTCTGCACTGTGTATATAAGCGTAGCAAGAGCTTTAACTTCTAGGGAACTGCTGACGCACAGTTCCCACCCTCTAAACAAGCAAATCCCGAATTATATCTCGAATTCAACTCGAATCTAACCCCAACAATATTAAGAAATCTGTTATAATGTAGAACCTTCGCCTAACCATCTCATCGGTAACGGTATGTAACATAATGTAAACCCATAATTAATAATAAAAAAATTAAGAATCCCCAATTGAATTGAGGGATGGTAATAGATTTGATGCTTTGCAAGGTAGATTCATGTGCTTGGTACGCGTAATGTATTAGTTTTAATTATCCTGCTTGGCTCACCACCATTAATGACCCATGACCCATCCACCACACCTAGACACCTAGACATTTTTCAGTGAACGCTTCGCCCGCCAACCGTGTTTGTCCCACATCCCGATTCCAGTTGCCAATTTTGGTTGCGCCGCCTAATGGACTTATCCTATTCACCTATTTCAGATGTTCTTCGAGGACAACATCGATCATGCCAAGTACTCCGGACACCTGTACGGCCTGGGCACGTCGTTCATTGTGAACGGCACCAACTTCCACGAGAGCAACGGGGAGACGAACAGCGCCTCATGATTCGTGCTGATGGGCAACGTGGTGGTGCACGATAAGAAGTTCGAGCAAGAGCAGTGCAGTGCAGTGGACTTGGCCTCTGTTTCCGTATCCGTGTCCGTATCCGCATTAGTGCAGGCCACAGCACCAGCTCAAGGCCATCAAAACCAAAACCAGAACCAGAACCATCTTACTGGAACTGCAACTACCACGTTATCGCAATAATCGCCAAATGTCAATGATCAGATTTAAAGTTTAGAGATTGCCACGGGAAGCCCCGTCTTTTTTTTAATACCCGTTTATGTCACCTTCACCTGTTCGCCCCAGGAGCTCTTCTTCCGATGTTCGCCACCAAATCCGAGGAGAAAAAAAAAACAAAGCAAAACACTGGCTCAACCAATTGTAAATCGCAAAAAAATGAGAGAATACCTTGTAAACCTAAAATAGATCCAATTTCAACTTCTGCATGTCTTAAATGTGTTACGAATACAAAAACTTAGATAACTAAGCTAATCTTGTAAGCCCATTGGCAACATAGAATATTGTGTATTTGTAAAAAAAACAACAAAAACAAATCAATATATTTAAAACTTTTTAATTTAGTTTAAAATGCAAATGTTTCTCTTATAGACTACTGTTTCTCGGCCCATAAATATTTATATGTTTATAAATATTACCTCCTAGCTCAAGATATTCGAATAGGTTTTGTGATTTTTTTATTTTTTCACTTTTTTTTAAGGGTATTTGTTGAAATAGGCAATGTAAAGTATAAAATAAACAGCACCGCATAGTTAGGCTTAAAAATAATCTATTTTGTTTGATTTTTAAGACAAACTGGGTTTTTGAATTCTTGTTTTTTTTGCCGCGCAAATCTGTGGACATTGAAGGTACTTACATTTATTTCCTACAGGTGGCGCTTCATGTTAGTGATTATGTTCCACATTTTCACAGATTTATAGACTCGATAACGATATTGTTATCGAACTTCCTCCATCTCTAGAAGCGACTGAAAGAAAAAGAAAAACGGAGTGCAATTTGATTTTTTTAAACAATCAATAACAAATTTGAGTAGTTTTCAAACTCAAACACCGGCTGGCGCTCCCCTCAAGTCGGCTGCATACAGTTGAAGCCCGTGAAAAGGAGAAAGCAGCGTTGAAATGTACAGAATTGAAAAAGCGGCAACAATAACAAAGCAAAAGTGAAATTGACGCCGGTCCAGGCGCCACCCCTCATGGAGAACCTTAAAATAAGCGAGAAGCTGTTCGAGGACGTGATTTACTTCGTTCTCGGCAACTTGGACGATGAGGTATGGTCGAAAAAGCGTTTTTCCTTTCCTGCACGGCATTGTTACCAAGCGTGGGTGTGTTTGTGTACGTGCGTCTGTCGTCCGCACAGGGTGTCTCGTGGCGGACGGGCTGCCGTGGGCACTGCCAAATGCCCGCCATAAATGTTGCCGGCAAATCGTATACGTTTGGGTGCGGATGTGTGTGTGGAGGAGCACTTGTGTTGGTGGAGAATCAACTGATTTTGTTTTGGTTCTGTTGGTCGAGAAGAAACACGCTAATATCTTTGTTTACTTTCCGTAGATTGAGCGCTTTCTGAAGAGCGGCGGAGCCCAGTCGAAACTATTCCTATCGGACAAAATCACTCATCTAATATGTGCCAACAACTACTCGGAGGAGGAGCTGTCCATGAACCTGGACCTCTACAGTGCCATTCCAGTGACCGAGCAATGGATTGTACACAGCGCCAAGCTGGGCCGGATGGCCTCGACGCGGGCCTTCGATCCCAGTCCCAACCAGTTGCGGCTCATGCGAGGAATTCGGGCCGCCATAACGAATGTGGTGGCTGGGGACCGACGGCGCCTCTACGCCATGCTGACCTACCACGGCGCCGTCGTGACACACAGCTTCGGGGCCACAAACACGCATCTGGTATGCGGAGCAGCCACCGGGGGCATCTACAACAAGGCGCTGGCGCTTCCCAAGAACGCTATAATCATTGTGACGCCCGACTGGGTGACCGACTGCCTTAAATTCAAGAGCTGCCTGCCCTCGGAGCCCTATCATCCCCGACTCCTCAAGCCCATTGAGAAGCAGAGGAATCAGAAGCAGCAGGCTGCCGCGCAACAGCAACAAATTCAGCAGCAGCAACAGATGCAACAACAACAACAACTCCAGCAACAGCAACAACAGCAGCAACAACAACTGCAGCAACAGCAACAACAACTGCAGCAGCAACAACAAATACAACAAAGCGCCGCCCCCACCCTATCGGATATTCTAGGCTTTGGAGACGATACGGCGGCGGCCAAGAGCATCGCCAGCATAAAATCTCAGCTGCAGGCTTCGGCGGAACAAATTCAGCAGCAACATCAGCCACAGCAGCCTGTACCGGCGCAACAGCAAGTGGTCTTCGTGCGGCCCCAGCCGCAGCCTCAGCAACAGCAACAGCAGATGCAACACCAAATGCCGCAAGGGGGTCCGCAGGCTCCTACGCCGCCCCACTCGCAGCAACAGCAGCAGCAGCAGCTGATCATCCAGCAGCAGAAGATCATTCCCGCCAACTTGCAGCAGCAACCGCAGAGCCAGCAGCAGATAAAGAACATTCTGCAGCAGCAGCGGCAGATGAAGAATACACAGCAACAAGCTCAGCAGCAGCAACAGCAACAAATTCAGCAGCAAATGATTCAGCAGCAGCAACAACAACAGCAGCAGCTTCAACAACAGCAGCAGCAGCAACAACAGCAGTTACAGCAACAACAGCAGCAGCAGCAACAACAACCGATCATGCAACAAGATCCCCAACAGCAGCAGCAGTCGCCAAGGCTGCCGACCACTCCCACAGGACGACAAACGCCGCGTACCCCGCAGTCCACCACGCCGCAACCCATCCAGTCGCCCCAACAACTTCATCAGCAGCTTATACAGCAACAACAGGTAGGTTTATTTGGTAATCAAGACATTATCCTTTTAAACAATATCTATAATCCTTTCCAGCAGCTACAAGTCGGTCAACAGCAAGTCCCTCAACAGCCGCAACAAATGGTGCAGCAACAGCAGATCGTTCAGCAACAAGTTGTACAGCAGCAGCAGCAGCAATCGGTGCCTGTTTCTCCACAAATCATGCATCAACACTTGATGCGGCAGCTGCAAGTTCTGAACCAAAGGCAAATGGAACTCCAACAAATAATTCAGAGCGGGCAGCCTCTCACGCCCCAGCAGCAGCAGCAACAGAGGCAAATCCAACAGCAACAGCAGCAAATAATGCAGCAGCAGCAACAGCTCCAGATGCAAATGCAGCAACAGCAGCAGCAGCAACAACAGCAGAGCCTCCAGCAGCAGCAATCCCCCAGAATGGTGCAGAACCGATCCCCGGTGATGCCGCCCAACACTCCCTCGCCGTCCCTGCAGCAGCAGCAACAACTGCAGCATGCCAGCAGTAATATGCTGCCTCCCCAGTCGCCCCGGCAGCTGCAGTCTCCAGCTCCCCAGATGACTCCGCCGCCGCCACCCTCGCCCCAGAGTGCCCAGCAGCAACACCTCCGCCAGCAACAACTGCAGCAGAGCCGTCAGCAACACATGATGGGATCGCCCCAGCAACCGCAACCGCCCTCCATGATGTCCCCCCAGCAGCAGCAACAGCAGATGCAGCCCTTCCAGCAGCCCGTCCATCAGCAGCAGCGCATGCAGTTGCAGCAGCAACAGCAACTGGCGCAACAACAGCAGCAGCAACAGCAGAGTCCCCAACACATTTCAGCCCCTCAGTCGCCCCAAATATCGCAGACCCCTCCCATGCAGAGTAAGATGCATCAGAACCAGAATTTGGGGGGCCAGCAGCAGCAGTCCTTCTCGCAGCAGAAGCCCATAGATCCAACAGATCCCGTTCAGGTGGCACAGGTCCTCAGCCGGTCTACGCTGAGCAGCAACCAGGATTCGTTGATCATGCGGCAGCAGCAACTGAAGCAACAGCAGCAGATGCAGCAGCAACAGCCGCCGCAGCAGCATACACCCTCGCCACGACAATCCCCATTGCAGCAGCCGACGACACCAACCTTGCAACAACAGCAGCAACAGCAACAGCCACCTCTTCAGCAGCAGCAACAACAAGCTCCTCAAGTATGTGGTAGAATAATTCTATTTTCAAGGCTTTACTTACATTACTTACATTTTTAGCAAATGCAACAACAGCAGCCTCAACAACAGCAGCAACAGCAACAACAACAACAACAACAACAGCAGCAACAACAACAAATCATGCAACAGCAACAATCAGTGCAACAGCAACAGGTCATCACTCAGCGACATGTTATTAACACTTCCACGGCCCAAGGGCAGCAAATCATTCAGAGCCACATGATGAACCTGCAGCAGAAGCAGCAGCAAGTGTTGCATGTCCAACAACAACAACAGCAGCAGCCAACACAACAACAACAGCTGCCCCAACAGCAGCCACAACAGCAACAGCAGCAACAACAAGTACAATTCACACAACAGCAACAGATTGCGCTGGGAACTGGTGGTCAAGTGCGAATCATTCAGCAAACCATTCAGCGGCCACAGCAACAGCAGCAAGTACCTCCACAACAGCAACAACAGATTATTGGACAGTTTCCGCAGCAGCAGCAGCAATTGCAGCAACAACAACTACAACAGCAGCAACCACAACAGGTGAGGCGTTTTATTTTCTTTTCAAAGTCCATCTAAGATAATAGTTTTGAAAATGTTTTAGACTCTCCAGCAGCAACAGATGCCACAGCAACAACAGCCCCAAATTCTGGGAGTTCAGCAGCAGCAGCAGCAACAACAACAGCAACAACCTCAGCAAATGCAGCCCCAAGGCAAGACATTCATTATCAGCCAGCAGCACTTCAATCAACTCAGCGTCCAGCAACAGCAGCAGATTCTGGCTCAGAATCCGCAAAACCAAAATGTTTATGTTGTGAATCAGACCAATCTAGCTCAGCAGCAACAGCAGCAACAACAACAACAACAACTGGTCCAGCAGCAGCAAATGTTGCAACAGCAGCCGATAATGCCACAGCAGCAGCAGCAACGAATGCAGATGCAGTCGCAACCGCAACAAATCGTTGTCAACCAGCAGATTCTGAGCGATCCTCAGAGGTTGCAATACTTGCAGCAACAACAAATTATGCAGAAACAACAACAGCAACAACTTGTGGGCGCGCAGCAGCAACAGCAACAGATCCTGATTCAGCAGCAACAACCACAGCAGCAGCAACAGCAGATATTGCAGCAAAAGTTGCCCATCGATCCGCAGCAGCAGCAACAACAGCAGCAGCAGCAAATCATGCAACAGGTTCTAATCACACAGCAGCAACTGCCGCAGAGGACACCGCCACCTCAGCAGCAGCAACAGCAACAACAACTGCTGCTGCAACAACAGTCCCCCCAGCACCATCCGCAAATGCAGCCACAGGCGCACTGGTCGCCGCAGAGTCCGGCCTCTGGCCAAATGGGTCCCGTAACGCCGGGAACGCCCACCAGTAGTGTGGGAATGCAGTCGCCGCTGCCAGGTGGGCCGTCAACCCCGCAGCAGCAGCAGCAGCAACAACAGCAGCCCCAGCAGTTCGTTCCCCGTGGACTGCGCCCGCAAACCTCATGGCCGGGCCAGCAACAACAGCAGCCCCCCTCAGTCCAGCAGCAACAGCAGATTGTACTGCCACCTCCGCAGCAGCAGCAACAAGGCCAGGGTCAGGTGGCGCCACAGCAACAGATAGTGCTGCAACAGCCGCAACAACAGAAAATCGTCCTGGACGAGAAGACGCATGCCCACTTCATGTCCCTGGACGCCCACAAGCGGGCCGAGTACATTACCAAGCTCAACCAGCAGAACAAGCCCCGGGTGATGCTGCGCCAACAAGTGGCCTACCAGCCGCGACCCGGTGCTCCTGGCGGCATGGTTGCCACTCGCCCCGCAGGACCAGTGCCACCTGGCCACATAATAGTCCAAAGCCAAATGCCGCCGGGGCTGACGCAACAGCAGCAGATGCTCTGGTTGCAGCAGCAGGGCAAGCGACAGGTGGTGGTGCGCGCCGGTGGCACCCCCGGCCTGAGTCCGATCCAGCAGCAGCCTGGCGTGGCCGTGGGGCCTCCGCAGCAGCAGCAGCAATCGCCCCAACAACAGCCCTTCAATCCCAACGATCCGAACCAGCAGATGCTGCTGCAGCGCCAGCAACTGCGAGTCCAGCAGATTCCCATCCAGCAGCAGGCTCCTCAGCAGATGGGAAAGCAGACAGTGCAGCTCATAACTGGCCCCAATGGGCAGCTCATAGAGCAGCAGACGATTGTCCAGCAACAGCAGCAGCCAACCACACCCACCACTCCGGGGGCTGGTGGCGTGGTGGCGGGTCCTCCAGGCAGTGGCAACATTATGACCCAAACGTTGGTGATGACGTCCACGAGTAAGTCAATTATGAGACATTTCAAGGGAGAAGGTAACATCTTGAATCTTTTCCAGCTCCCGATGGACAGCCACAGCAGACGCCCCAGCAGATGAACCTCAAGACCAAGACCGCACTGGCCAACATGCTGAGCAGTCGGTTGGGTAACAACGGCGTGCAGCCGCAGCAGCAACTCATTCAGCTTCCCGACGGCCAGCAGCAGCAGCAGCCTCAGCAGCAGATTGTCCAGCAAGTAGTGGTGACTGGGGCACCGCAACAGCAGCAGCAGCAGCTGCTCCTCCAGCAGCAGCAACAGCAGATGGTTGTGCAGCAGCAGATGGCGCCGCAGCAGCATGAGCCTCCTTCGGCGGCTGGAGCTCTGAGGATGATGGGCCAGCAGCACAACGCTGCTGTTGGGGTGGGAGTGGGCGTGGCCGGGCCACCCCGTACGCAACAGGAGTTGCTTATCCTGCAACAGCAGCAGATGCTTCAGCAGCAGCAGATTGGTGGCCGCCGAGTGGTGGCCATTTCCCAACCGCAGCAGACGCCGCAGCAGCACCTGGTCCAGCACCAGATAGTTGTGGCTCCGCCGCAGTCGCCGCAGCAGCAGCAACAAATGACTGTGGGAGTGGGTGTCCCTGTCCAGCGACCGCCCCATGGCTTTATCCAAGCCCGACCCGGCCAGCAGGCCATTCCCATGCCGCAGTTTTACGGCCACAATCCAAACCTGAAGCTGCCCGCCGATCTCTTCCTGGTGGGCTGCACCTTTTTCATTGTGGAGTACGACGAGACGGACTGCGACGAGCTGCCCATTTGGCTGGACACGATTCGGCAGTTCGGCGGCGACATCGAGCGCACGTACTGCCCCCGAGTGACGCACGTCATCTGTCGAACCCAGAGGCATGGCGTTGTGATGCAAGCCCTCCGGGACGCCAAGCGCTGCGTCACGGCCTACTGGCTGAGCGACATCTGCCTCAAAAGACAGCTGATGCCGCCGTGGCAGCCGCTGCATCTTCCATTCCCCAGCCAGTTTGGCTACCGCAAGCCCCTTGAGCGCTACATCATCACCTCGGAGGGATTCGAGGGCGAAGAGGTGGTCCGTCTGCAGCAAATGGCCGAGGAGTGCGGCGCCATCTACACATCCTACCTCTCGAAGGTGAACACGGTGGTCATCTGCAAACAGCTGGAGGGAAACAAGTTCAATGCCGCCAAGGAGTGGAACATCCCGATGGTTAACGCGCTCTGGCTCAGTGACGTTTGCATTGGCAACTTGAGTGGGCTGTCCCAGTACGACAGCCCCAAGTACCAGCAGTACAACCTGGTGGCTCCATTCCGCATCGAATGCAATCTGGTGGCACATCTTCTAAGTAATATTTTCTTGAAAGGATTTGTTTGAAGTTTTTATTAATATCCTCCCTTTTTTTAGCTGCCTGGAAAGCTCCCATCAATCTCACCCAGGAGGCACATGAACGTGTGAAGCGTCATCTATCCGATCCGTACAGCAGCGAACAAAAGCTGAAGCGCCAGAAGATGAACTCGTTCCAGCAGGAGCAGCTGCCCGAGCAAATAGTCTGCCTCGAATACCCCACAACCACCAAGCCGCCAAAGGTTATATTTTCTCAGGTGGCAGATGTGGAATCTCTCAAGAAAGCAGTTCTGTAAGTACCTAGGATGCCTTCCTTTGAAATCATATAACCATCTCCCATTCTTTTATAGAATTTTGGGTGGCATCGTGGTGGACAGTCCCGCTGACGCCACTCATCTGGTAATGACACGCGAGAGTCGCACCTGCAAGCTGATCCAGGCCTGCTGCCATGTCGACTATGTTCTCAAGTCCAGCTGGATCGTGGAGAGCGCCAAGGCTGGCAAATTTGTGCCAATCGATCCGTACCGCATCCAGCACATACCCGTGGACGAAAACCTGCAATTCAACCTGGATACGGTGCTGTGTGCACCCACTCGTGATACCTTGTTTGCGGGGAAATACTTCCACGTCACACCGGACGTATTCCCTGCGCGCGAGGAAATCATCAAGATGATCGAATACTCCGGGGGTAAGGTGGAAGCGAAGCGGAGAAGCGGAGCGGCTGTGGCCGAGGCGCATGTCCAGTCGCCCGACTCCTACATCATCGTCACCTGCCCAACGGACATGCATCTGTGCGCGGATCTGACGCGGCACGGCAATCCCAAGTGCCACATTGTGTCCACGGAGTTTGTCATGAGCTCGATCCTCAAGCAGCAGCTGGAGATCGAGCCGAATCTGATACCCTACCTGTACAATAATAACAATGTCAATGCATGCAACAGCAACAAGTCCTAGCGCCGAGTTTTCTGGTTGTTGTAGGAACATCTTAGCAGTTACACCGGATGAGGTCTAGTAGGGTCTTCTAGGGTCTTGAATACATATCGGTTATATATGTAACTGTCGTTTATACTCTTGTTTATCCATTTTATTTAATGTCTTATGCTTCATCCAACTACCCTTTTGTAAATTGTAAATAATCTTAATAATCTAGTTGTTAAGATCTAAGAATCTAAAGTTAAGATCAACGTTTTTTATCGTACTGCGTGTCCGTTGTATTTGTTTGTAACCAAGAAACCTTAATATGCACTGCCTCCATCAAGTCAAGAAGAAAGTGAAATCTTTTGAAACCAAATATCTTTGAACATTATTATTTTAGATGAAATTACTAATATTATTGAGGGACCGTAAGCTGAAACTTTATAAGCCAGCCATAACCATATTTATGATTTTGAAGCCAGTATCTTTAAGAGTAGATCTATAAGCATGCTTATATAGTATATAGTTTTGTGTTCATTGCGGTCCCTGATGCTATAACATTGGAAATGTTCAACATTTGATGAGGCCTTTATCCAATAACCCCCCCATTTTCATCCCATGGAAGCGAAATACAAGTCAACATACGAATTTAAGAGTGGAAATAATATTTAACGAGAGCAGTCGACCGATATGTGCAAGGATGATGGAAGAAGAATATCTACCTTAATTAGAGTAAGGACCAATAATTTTAAAAACGAGTATATTTTTGTGGGAAATCACACGCATATATTGCCTGGAGTATACGAAAAGTTTCACAGAACATGATATTTGCTGGCTATTAGTATTCTAAGTACTTGTCACATTAGTAGAGCCAATATTTTCAAAGATTATATTAATATTAGTTAGGAATTGTACGAGAAATATATGAAATAAAATGTTTACTTGTAAAAACTATAAAGGAATGGTTGTGTTTTTGAGGGGGGTAATCTGAGTAGAGTTTTGAAAAAATCGAAAATTTTTTTTTTTCGCTTAAAAAATTCATTAGGGTTTTAAAAATAACATATCAAAAGATAGAGTCCGGCCAAAGAGTCTAAGTGTCGAAATTTTCCATTCTGCGGCGATGCCTCACAGGTATATCCCACAGTACTTAAAACTTTAAACGCGTTTTTCTCAAAACCGCTTTTTTGAGTTGGCCATAACACATAACTTGAACAACTCTTAACCTATCGATCTAAAATTTTAACCGTATTACTCAGAATACTATAGTATACTATATATACTATACTGGCTATCGATACACGTAGGATTTATTGCTTACTTTTTTTTATCAACAATTTTGTGACGTTTTTTGAAAATTGAAAAATTTTTTTTTTGTTTGCCTGTTACTCAGATGTCCCCCTTAAATAGTGCTGTAAGGATATAATATCCCTTTAAATCCCCAATTAAAAACACCATTTGAATTTAATTTTATTTCAATTTTATTCGTGTTTTTCGGTTTTTTGTTTATTGGTAAAGAATTTTAGTTTTTAATGTATTTTACAGACGAAGCGTGTTGTCCAGCGACTCGTTTGGGACCTGCTCTCGTGGTGTGTTGTGTGTGTTGGCTGTTTAATAAACAATTAACGTATTTAATTTACATCAGTTAAACCAAGTTGGACTTAATGCTAGACCACTACGCTTACGCTTACGCTTACAATTCAAATTCGCACTTACAAAGAATCTAAGGTTAGAGTAAAAATGATGATTAAGATTAGATATATTTTCTGCTTCTCTCAAATAAGTTATAAATAATTTCGTGTGTTTTGTGTTTTTGTGGTTTAATCTATTTCTATCAAAAATGTGGTATTACGAAAACTGCAAACTTTTTTCAATTCGGATTTCCTTTCTGCCTTTATAGATAACTAGAAGTATATAGTATATGGGGTTGTATATATAATACATCGCTTAATAAAAAGTAACAACATATGCGTTTTATAAAATCGGCTTATTACACTTGATTTAAGTATTTTTTACACTTATTCTTTAGTGTTTTATTTGCATATTTACAGAAAATAAAATTAACTTTATGCTTAGTTAGCTAAGTTAAAAAAAAAAAAAAACAAGGCTTGCCATGAATCCAACTCCTTTTTGCTTAAATGGTAATTATAAGAATGGTGAGACTACAAGGTAATATTTATGTACAAACTTAGGCCTAGTTCTTTACATTATCCTTAAAAACATACGTTAAAAAATGTTGCACGACTTATGGCTAAATATTGTGTGTTTACTTATTCTCTCAGAAAAGTCCCGCCAAAAGTGCATAGGACAACAAATATGTTCACAGGGTCAAAAATGAGTTTAATTTCACTCTAAAAGTTTCGTGTTTTAGTTTAAAAATAAGGTAAAAAATTCCACAATCAAGATGTGAAATGCTTCCCCCAAGGGATCTATTCGAAAAAGATACATCCCCTGGGAGGCATTTCTCAGAATACGAATACGTACAAAACTCAATGATGAAAAGTGACTAATACTCGATGAGTTTACAAATTAAAAAAGTTAATATGTACACCCATATATTAGTTTGTGTTTAGGATTAGGGGAGGAGACTTACGCCCTAGTTACGAAAATGGCTTCGGAAAATTGTTGTTCTGTTCTGTCAGTATTTACACTCTTTGCAATCGCGGTCTTTGCGGCCCAATTCTGTTCTAGCCCTCGATTTGTACTTTGTTTAACTTACACTTTACTTGCTTAACAATCTGACAACATTAACAAGTTGCTTGCATTTGTTTTTTTCCCTTAATTTGGTTGTTTTGTTGCTATTTATAAATATTATTTACATTTGTTTTTTTTTGTAGCCATAGCTTTAGTTTTGTTTTAGTATTGCTTGCATTTTTTTAAGACTGGCTATAAGTATTGTAGTATTTCAAAAGCAGAAACAAAAAGTTTGACAAATTATAAGATATACCCTTTCGCTACTACTAGCTTGTAAGCCTTGTAACTTAACTAAAAATACGTATTTAATCACTAAACGATTCAAGGTTTGCTCCAACATCTGTATAACTTCAAGTTTTGCTGCCTAATCTGTATCTACTAGCTAGGTAAGTTAATGTGTATATCGCGCTATATAGAGGCTCTTCTACTGTATGTACATAAATATTCTTATGCTTTCTTGCTGGTAATTAATTTACGACAAAAACGAGACTATTACATAACTAAATAGTTTAGTAGAACACCCTTCCTATACGTTTCTATTCCATATATGTAGGTATTTGCTAAGCAAAGTATTTCTGTTTCATAATATTCATTGATTGGATTGGATTGGCTTGTTTGGTGATTCTGTTGTAGGCTTCCTGATCTCAATAGTGGGCGTTAAAAATTATAAATATAGTTTTTAAGGTAATCAACACAAAGTAAGATTCATTTCGTGTTGTTTGGTTTATAAGGAAAGTGAGTATCTCATGTAGAAAATGTGATTCCATCGCAGCTCTAGACCAAGCCGGTCGATGTTGGATTGTTAACTCTTCGTATTTCTGACTGGGATTATGTTTCTCTGTTCATCTGTCTTTGAATTGCTGTGGGTGGTGAATCTTGGTTAGTACTCTTCTGGGTAACTGTGTTCCGACTACTCACTGCCTCATATGCCATCTCGTCTAGCCGTCGTCACCTTCTCCAAGGCACACGCTGCGCCAGCTCCTCCGCCCAAGCGTTCTATCACCCGCGAGTCGCAGGATATAGTCCTTTGCAGGCATCGCGATCGCTCGCTCATCTTCTCCTGCTGCTGTTCCAGCAACGTGGGTGCAGCATTAAAGTGGCCACCTGTTGGGAGGCATTTCGTTAAGTAACTTGGTTCCACAAGAGATCGCCCTGCATGCTTACCCTTTGGCTTGTCGTCGAACATGTGCAGCTTCTGGGCCGTGCTCAGTATGCTGTTCACCGTGTCCAGAGTGGTGGTAGGGTGATCCAGCCCAGCACTCTTCCCCGACAGCCTTCCCGTGACTCCCAACGCCTGCTGCAGGTGGTTGCCGCTGCCCTTGACTGCGCCCAGCTTGCTGCTGCCGCCAGCACTGTTGTTGTTCAGGCCGACAGGTTGGTGGTGGACACTGATCGAGTTGCGGCGCTCTCGCATCGCCGCCTGGTAGCGCTCTGGCGACTGCAGCGAGCACTTGTTGATGGTTTGGGGCTTGGCGAAGCACCGGTCCGCACCGGAACCAGTTGGTGTGGTTGGAGTGGTGGGCGTTGTGGGGGTGGTGGGAGTGGTGGGAGGAGCCGTGTCAACCGAAGGCCTATGTCGCATCCTGTACTCGCTGATCGAGAGTTTCCGTTTGGGCATGGGCATCGGATCCGGCACCGTGAGCTTGGGATTCAGCCGCGGATCGTGGCTGGCCGTCCGGGTGTACAGCTTCAAGGGGGTGGTCGTGGGTGGGGGCATGTCCACAGAAGCAGCAGCTGGTGGTGCTGGCGGTGGGGTGACTGGCACAGCTCCCGGAAGCTTGATCGCCGGCGGAGCCGTTGCCTTGGCCTTGGTGGCTTCCAGGTACTCGGCCAGGCTGGGCATGCTGTTGCTGCTGCCACCACTGGCACTGACAGCCGCTGGGGGATCCTGCAACTTGCCGTAGATGGTGTTGTAGAAGGGCAACGTGGAGATCTTTCCGGGCGCGCAGTTATTCAGCAGGGAGGCGGCAGCCGGAGTGGGTTGAGTGATCAGCACTGGAATGGGAGCTGCTTTGGGCGTCACAACCGAGATGGGGCTGGGTGCCGGCGGAGCTGGAACTGGACTGGCAGCCACCGGCACCAGGGTTGGCGGCTTCTGGATGTGGTTCACCACCACTTTCTGCTTGCCCTCCTTCTCCTTGTCTTTCTCCTTCTCCTTCTCCTTGTCCTTGTCCCGATCCCTTTCCCGGTCCTTATCCTTGCCCTTTTGCTTCTCGTGCTTCTGCTTCTCCCGATCCTTCTTCTTGTTCTTCTTCTTCTCCTTTTTCTCCTTCTTCAGGGCAGCCGCGATGAGCGCCTGCTGCTGCCGGCTGCCGCACATGGACTCCCGCCGCCGGCTGATGGCCGTCAGCTTTCCACTGGCTATCGCCGCCGCCAGACTCATGGGAGCTCCTGCTCCTGCCGCCAATCCACTGCTGGGATTTGCATCCTGGTGGTTGTTCTCCTTCCGGTGCTGATGTTGCACCGTGGACAGTGTCGGAGCTGTCAGCGGCGTGTTCTGGGTCTTGCTGCTGTTCAGGAGGATGCTGCTGCTCAGGATCTGGCTGTTCGGCTTGGTCAGCTCCTGCTCGAAGTTGGTCTGCCGCTTCTTCGCCGTCGGCGGAGTGCCATGCAGTGGAGATGGCATTGAAACGGGGGCCGCAGGGGTGACGGGAGTCACGCACATGGACATGGTTCGACGCCTCATCTGCTGTTGCTGCTGCTGCTGGGGTGGCTCCACATGCTTCGTTTTGCCGTTCGCCGTGGTCACTGGTGGCACAGCATTGGGAGCTGGCAGGGATTTGACGTCGGCTGCTGCCTTGGCGGCTGGTTGCGATGGCTTCTTCTTGATCTCCGCCACGTTGGGTGTCCCGGCGGCAGCCTTGTCCTTCTCCTTCTCCTTCTCCTTGTCCTTTTCCTTGGACTTCTTCTTGTCCTTCTTTGCCTTTTTCAGTTGCTTCTCCTTTTCCCGCTTCTCGTCCTTCTCCTTGGACGCCTTCTTCGGCTCCACAGCAGTAACAGCGGTGCTAATGACGCTGCTCTTCTGACTGGAGGAGGCCGAGGAGGAAGCTTTCTTGTTCCGAGACTGAAGGAAGGAGATGTTGGCTGCATGGAAGGACAGCAGACGCTCCTGTATGTCGTGCTCGCTGAGATTTTTGGTACTAGCAGGTGCAGGAGCTGGAGCGGGAGTAGGGGCTGGAGTTGGAACAGAAGCCGGAGCTGTAGCAGAAGCTGGCGCAGGTGAAGGTTCAGGAGCGGTCGGTGCAACAGACACCTCAGCCACTGGTTCCACCTTTGATTTCTTCTTCTGGGGCTCATCCTCAGCCTTGAATGGCGGCGTCCTCGTCTTGAGCATCACCTTGCCCACATCCAGCAGAGTGGCCGCCGCAGCAGCAGTGGCCGTGGCTGTCGCCCGTAGAAGCGACTCGCCAGGTTTGGGTTCATCCTTGGCAGCTTCCACTTTGGGAGCCATCTTCTCGGGACTTGCCTCCAACTTGGGTGCCACCTTAACGTCAGCTTCTTCCACTTTGAGCTCCACTGGAGGCGATTCCACTTTGGGCTGAACAGGCTCGCGGTTCAGTTGCTGCTCCTGCTGACTCTGCTGCTCGCGCTGCTCCTCCTCTTCGCGCTTCACCTTGACCATCTCCTCGAACTTGTCGCAGGCCTGGCTCTCCTCCCGCTCCACGTCGATCTTCACGTCGTTGGCCGCGGGGCTCGTATCCTCGGGCTCGATCTTCACCAGGTTGTCCTCGGCTATGATTTGGTGGGTTCCCGGACTGGGTGACCGCAAGATATCCACATCGTCGTCCTGCTCCTGGTGGTTCAGTTCCGGATCCACGTCCGCTTCTATCTTCACGATCTCTTCGTCCGCCTCATCCTTGGGCTCGCCGATGACATCGATCTGGGGGTCTTCCGCCTCCGCACTCGCTCCATTGCTGATCACCACCAGGCGGCGCTTCTTCAGGGGTGTGCTGAATCCATTGGCCAACGGAGACACACTGGGCGTCGGCTGGGTGGGAGTGGGTGTGGCAGACGTCGACGACTGCTGTTGCTGCTCGTCCGGCGTGGTCTCCTCGCTGATGGCCTGCCGCAGCCACCGCTTCTTCACCGAGTTGTTCTGCAACGGCAGCTGGAGCTGCTCCCGCGGAGTGACCGTGCTCGTCGACTCCGCCTGGTGGATGAACTGCTCCACCTTGAGCAGGGCCGGAGCCGGCGAGGACTGCGCCTGCATCTGCTCGCGGTCCCCGTTGATCTCGCTCATGGCGGCCTGCACGAGGCTGTCCAGTCCGGAGGTGGGCTGCTGCTCGCACTCCGTCTGCTGGAACCAGTTGGACATGAGGGTCTTCTTGGTCTTGGCCCCGCCGGGCGGGAACTTGAACGACGACGGTTGCTCCATGGGCTCTGGCTGCTGCTCCAACGGCCCCATGGCAGCTTCGATCAGAAGACAGGCGCTGCTCACGGCTGTGCCCTGGGACTGCGACGATGGCGACTTGAATGCCTCATTCGACGCCGGGCCAGAGTTCTGCGCCAAGGCCAGGAGCATGCCCGCCGCCTGGTCCTCTGATCCCGTGTGGTGGTGCTGCACCACCTGGTCCTCCGACTCGGAGTTGGTCAGCGCGTGCGACTCACCGTCGGACTCCACCAGGATGCTCTTCCGCCGCTTGTTGTTGCTGCCGCCGCTGCCGGAACTGTTCAGGCCGTTGTTGTTGCTGCGGCTCACCTTCCGCTTCTTCTTGTTCCGGCGCTGGGCAGCCGCCGCCGCAGCAGCCGAGGTGGAGCTGGTGGGCGTATCCGCGTCCTCGCTGATGGAAATGGAGTTGGAGTTGCTGCGCTTGTTGGGCGAGGCGGGCGAGTTGCTGGCCTGCCGCTTGCAGGAGGTGCTCTGCCGGGTCTCCTTCTTCCCGCGAGCCTCTTGCTTCTCCATCTTCTCGATGGCCCGCAGGATCGCCTCCAGCTTGCGGTCCTCCCGCGACTGCTTGGGCTTGTCCTTGGCGGGGGTGCGAGTGGTGGGCGTGGTTCCTGCGCTGGACAAGTCTTCATCCTTTGAGTCGGCTGGCGAAGAAGCGGCTGATCCTGGCGTGGTAACATTCGCCACAGCCGCCTGCTTGGCTGGCGTCTTCTTGGCCGACATGGTTCCTCCCACGCTGTTGTTGTTGTTGACAACGGGGGAGCTCTTCGTGGGCGTGGCCACCTTTGTGGGTGTGGTGACCTTTGCCTGTGTGGTCACCTGAATGGTCTGGACTCCAGCTGGGTAGAGAATCTGTTGCTGTTTCTGGGGCGACTGAGGAGGATGCGGTTGTTGCAACTGTTGCTGTTGGGGATGGGCCTGCTGCTGGGGCTGGACTGTCACCTTGATGGGCGCAGACACATGCGACGTGGGCGTGGCATGCAAGCTCTGCAAGGCACTGACCGCCATCCTGGCCTCGTCTGCCATGTACTGGTGTTGCTGGAGTTGCTGCTTCTGCGGCACGTTGCTGACGAACTGTGGTGGCTGATGAGGTGCCACCTGTGGCTGTTGGGGCTGTGGGGCCTTCGGAGATTGTTGCTGCGGAGACTGCCGCACAATACACGTGGCCATGGGCTGCTGGGCTGCCGCAGCGGCTGCGATCACGGCCAGGGGCTCTTGATGCTGCGGCTGGAGCTGGTTCTGGTGCTGATTCTGATTCTGGTGGTGCTTCAGCTGAGCTTGTTGATGCTGTTGCTGGTGGTGGTGTGGCTGCAGCAGGGATGGCTGGTGCGGCGTGGGCAGCACCACATGCTGCTGCAGGGGCTTGGGCAACTGGGGCGACAGCATGGGGGTGAGCATCGGGGTGGGCAGAGCAGCCAAGATCTGCTGCTGTTGCTGCTGCTGCGTTGGACTCCTCTGCAGGAGGGACATCTGCGGTTGCTGCTGGTGCTGCAGGGTGGGGGACTGCAGCTGCGCTGGCGTGGGCGATGGTATGGACACTGAAGGCGACGAGGAGGAGGTGCAGATGCCCGAGTCGTGCAGCACACTGGACATGGACGCCGAGCAGGAGTTGTTGCTGCCGGTGCTGCTGCTGCTGCCGGCACTGTTGCAGAGCACGCCCGTCACTGGTCCCGTCAGAGTGCCTGCCGTCGGGGATGGCTTGAAGCCCAGATTCAGTTGCCCCAGCTGGGGACTGTTCAGGCCCATCTGGCTGCTCTCGCCGCTGGAGGAGGTGGACCGATTCCTGGAGCCCGGCAGGCCACCTGGCACCGCTCCCGGTCCGACCCCCACTCCCAAGCCCATGGTCAGTTGAATGGCCGCCGCACTGTTGACGGCCGCCGAGGACTTGTTCCGGTGACTGCTCCTCGGCTGGGTGGGTGGAGCCTGGAGCTGCTGCTGCACAGCCAGCGGCAAGGCGAAGAGGCAGTCGCTGCCCAGGTCGCAGGCACACCGCGTGCTCGTCGGCTGGACCACAGAGGCGTGCGACTTCTTCTGCTCCACGGCGGCCAGGTCGTGCGGCTCGTGTCGCACCGTGATCTCCGTCTGGGCTCGGATGTGGGTCAGCGCCACAATGTACAAATGCAGGGTTCCCTTCTCGAAATAATGCTGGAGCTCGGCGTTCGGCCGACATGAGCGTCGCACGAATCTCGCATCGTTTCCGTACGTTCTCGTGTCCACGCACACCTCCGGACCCTTCAGGTAGGAGGGTGGCTGCTGGGCCGCCAGGGGCACGCTGCCGTCCGCCCGCAGCGTCTGCATCGGCGCCTCCACTCCCGGCAGCTGGTAGAAGAACACGAACTGGCCGGGCGTCTTGTGGGCCTTGAAGCTGGTCAGGTAGTTGTTGGGCGGAGGAGTGTTCATGTTAATCGTGGGGTTCTGGGTTCGGAACTGGGTGGTCAGCATGTACTTTCCGCGCAGCTCGTGGATGGGCGCATTGGGCGCCAGCTCTACACTGCTGATCAGAACCTTGGCGCCCGCGTAGGGGATGAGCTGCGCCCGCTGCTCCAATGGCAGCTGGTCGCCTACGCCGCCGCCCGACATCTGCTGCTGAATCTGGCGGAGCGCCTTGTTCTCCGTGTTCTGGATGCTCTGCAGCAGACTCGGCTGCTTCTGGATGGCGTGCAGGCGGGCGCGCAGCTCCGGCGAGTAGTGGTTGGTCACGGCGTACTCGTAGTTCTCAATCCACTGGCGCAGATTGGCGGCATGCTTCTCCGCCGCCGTCAGCGCAGGACTGCTGCCTCCGCCACTGGATCCATCGCCACCGGACTTGCTCTTGCGCTTGCTGTTCTTCTTTCCGGTCTTCCCGCTGGACTGCAGCGAGGAGTTTCCGCTCTTGTCGCCGCCAGCCCCGCTCTTCTTGCTCTTCTTTATGCTAGCCCCTCCGCTGATCCCGTCTTTGGTCTTCTTCGACTTCTTGGACATGCCGGTGCCCGTCGCATAGCCGCCATTCAAGCCAGAGGCCAGGCGCTGCTGCATCTCATCCGAAATGGCCGGTGTGCCGCCGAGAGTACCTCCACTGCTGAAAGTCGTCCCGGCCGCCACAGCCGCCACTCCATTAGCTGCCTGGGTGGCCACCAGCATCATGTGCTCCTTGCGCTTCTGACGCTGCAGGGCGCGGGCTCTCGCCTTGTCCACCGCCCTCGGCTGGCACAGTTCGCACATGTACTCCTCGGGGATGTTTTGGCGGTCGATGCCCATGCAGTCCACATGTTGCCAGGCTCTGTGGTGGGGAATAGTTATATTAGGAGGTTTGTAGAGCTTGAAAGGATAACCAAGACTTACGAGCACTTGTCGCAGCATATCATGTAGCCATCGTCGTGGGTCAGCTCACAGATGCAGCGCGTCACAGAGTCGTCCTCCGGTTCTGCCTCGGGTGCCGTTTCCGTCTCCTCTCCAGGATCAATGTCGGCGCTGGCCAGACCCAATCGGGAGCTACTGCTAATGGCCGAATGGGCATCATCGTCCGTCACATGGCGAGGAACTACAAGAAGTACAAAAGGTTAACTATATTCCAAAGAAATGCCATTCTTTCCACTCACTTTGCTGGCCATAGAAGTTGGCATACGTGCCTCCAACAGCGGGAACTGGTTGGGCTCCCGCCACTGTCACTCCTATGCCGCCCAACGACCACTGCTGTGGTTGCTGTGCCGCTCCCGGGGTCGTCGCTGCGCTAGAAGCTGCAGATGGCTGTGGTGGTTGCTGCTGCTGCTGCTGCTGGGAGGCGTAGGTGTGGTCCTGCATAATGGCGTGCAGCTGCTGCAGCCGCAAATCCTGCGTGAGCACGGGCACTGGTCGCACCTCCTCGATGTACAGCTCCTCGTCGTGGGCACTTAACTGAACCAGCTGCTGGGCCGACGCTTGGGGAGGCGCCTTCACCACGGCCGGGGACTGGGGCGCTGTCTCCACGTGGACTGGGTTTACGGGGGCCAGGTGAAGAGGAGCCGGTGCCGCGGCTATATTCGTGGTAGTGCTGAATGTAGTGCTGTTCCTCGCGGGTCCCAAATTACTTAGGCTGCTGCTGTGGGTCAGGTTGCTGCTGTTGGCACTGGAATTGAAAATGGAATTGGATTAGAGATTCCGCTTTGATGTTCCTTTCTAGAGAGCTAAGTTCTCCAACTGACAATATGAAACTGGCAACAGAAACAGGTGCTTGACAGCCAAAATATTAATCGATCTGGAATCTAAACATCCAACAATCGAAGAAAATAATTGAACTTGATTGTCACCAACGGATGAGTGCGCCCGTTCCGAGCCATTTGATTTCGATCCAACTTGACCTCCTTCCTATATTTCCCATCTTTTCCATGCAGGAAACTGTCAAAATTCCCCCAATAACTCATAAGCCTACTAATCCTTTCCAATCCTAACTTTTAATTAAAATAATACAAGTATTTAGTTACCCATGCTTGTTGTAATACTCGATGACCGTCGGCACCTTCCTGGCCACGCTCATCGCCTCGTGCTGCTGCTGGAGCGCTTGGTTCTTCCGCTCCAGCGATGCCGACCGGCTGCTGGGCGCACTAACCGACTGGCGCCGCGCCGCCGTCGCCGAGGACATGTAGGACGAGATGGCGGCGCTTCCACTGGCAAAGCCATGCGACGAAATGCTCACCGACGGCGTGGCCGCCACAGTGACCGGCGCGGTTGGGGAGCCGGACACCGTGAGGTACGAGGGCGAGGACACTTTCGAGCCGGCTGACTGGTAATGGGCCAGGAGTAGGTTGCCAGGAGCACTAGCCCCCGGGCTGCTGGTCATTATGCCGTTGCTGCTGGTGGCACTGGTGCCGCCACTGCCGCTACCGCTGCTGTAGAGGATCTGGGTAGGCGGTGGCATGTGGCTGTTGGCGGAGGCTGGCTGCGGCGGCTGGTATCGCTGCTGCTGCTGGCTGAACGACTTCTGGGCCATGCTCTGGAGAATGCGCGCCGACAGCTCGTCCGTCATCTGGGTGCCGTTGACGATCATGACGTCGTCGGTGATCAGCGAGGACGAGTTGGCCGCCGCCCCGGCATGCGAATCGTTGTCGCTGCTGCCGCCGCTGTTGTAGTGGGTGCGCTTGGTGGCCGGCTGGTGCTGCGGATGCTGCTGGATGACGGTGCCGTGCGAGTTGACGAACTTGATGGTGCCACTGCCGGCGGCCGAGGTGGCCTGCCCCTGCTGGAGCACGTACCCGGTGCCGCCGCTGGGCGAGGTTTTGTGCTGCAGCTGCGTTCCCTGCGGCAGGCTGATTTGCTGCTGCACATACTTGCTGTTCAGCTTGGTGACCTTGGCGGGCGTGGGTGAGGCTGTGACCATGGGCTGCTTGATGTACGTCGCCGGCTGCAGCTGCTGGTGCTGCTGGGGCATGGCGGCGATGGAGAGGGCTGTCGTTTGTTTCACGAACTTTGCCTTCGGGCCACCGACCGTCTTGTAGGCCTGTTGCTGCTGCTGCTGCTGCTGTTGCTGCTGCTGCTGGGTGATGAAAGTCTTGAGCTGCTGCGTCTGTATTTGGTGCTGTTGCTGCTGCTGTTGATGCTGCAGCATGTTGCCCACGCTCTTGACCATGATCTTCTGGCTCGCCTTCTTCAGCAACGCCGCATTGCCGGCCACCGCGGTGGCCGTGGCATTCACATACTTGGGCTGCGCCGGCTGGACGATTATCTGCGGCGGCGTGGCCGGGACATACGACTGCAGGCGAGTGGCCACCCTGGAGCCCAGAGTCACCTTCTGCAGGGTGGCGTGCTGGGGGTGCTGCTGCTGCTGCTGTTGCTGCGCCTTGAAGGCACCAATGCTTCCGAACTTCTGGGGCTGATGCTGGGCCGACTGCTTGGCAGGCGAGGCTGTGACGTACGGTAGGCCCTTGGCGGTCAGGTAGTTGAGCTGCTGCTGTTGCTGTTGAGCACCTCCTGGAACACCTGGCGCACCCTTGGAGAGCACCGTGAGATTACTGAGCAGCAGCTTGGAGTTGTGGGGCGGGGTGGCCGCCGAGGCATCGATGATGACGTTGCTGGTGCTGCCGTCGGTGGTCACGATCTTGTAGATTTGAGGATTGATTAGCTCCTGGCCTGGGCCAGGCGCAGTAGCAGCCGTCGTGGTCCCGGTCGCTGTACGCACTGCGTATTTCTGGGTCGAATTCATCACCGTCTGGGGCTGGCCCTGGCTGGCGCTGAGGATCTGCCGGGTGCTGATCGACATGCGGCGCTGCATGATCCGCTGAAGCTGCGCCTGGGTGGAGAGGCTGCTGCCATCGATGACGATGTGGGGGGGCGGCGGCTGGGGACCACCGCCGACTCCTACGCGATTTATACTGGAGCTGCTGCCACCGCTGCTGGTGCTAACGGCCGGCTCCACAAAGACCGTGTCATGGGTGGACATGGGCATGGTGGCGGCGACGGCTGTTGGGTGTATTGTAACGAACTAATATTAGACGTGGGTTTAGAGAGTCGGTTCACTCGCTCGCTCGGTTCGGTAAAGTTCTTCGGTTTCGGTTTCGGTTTCAGTTTCGATTTCACAACACTACTTTAATGGCAAGGCCGTCATGTTGCTGCCACTGATGCAGTTGCTCCTGATGTTGCTGAAGTAGCTGGTTGTTCGTGGGTGTGCCCCCAAAGCATTGGGGGCCCAATGCATAACCTCTGGCTCTGGCTCGGAGGACGGACGCTGAGACTCTCTGTGGTAGGAGTAAGCTGCTCGATGATTTGCAATGACGGTGTCCGACACTGTGCCACATCACATTGTCAGCCATCACAAACATAACGGTGCGAGAGATTCGATTGATTCCTCGGCGTGCTCCTCCTCCTCTGCTTCTCAGCTTCTGGCTACGCTGCGCACGCCTGTTTTCCTCCTCCTTCCTTCTGGTTCCGATTCTGATCTTTATCCTTGTTGGTGTTCCGATCGGATCTGCGTTGTTGTTGCTCGTTGTTCGTTGGAGACGCTTGGATGATAAACGATTTTTCGTTGTTCCTACAAAGAGATAATGGATATAGTACATGAATATTTAATCGAGTCCTGTTTACATTTGAAAGTGCACTATTTTCGCAACTAGAGGGTCGATTATCGATAAAGTTTGGGCACCCATCTCTAGCAGTCGGGAGCGGCATTGCCAGCTCCAACTTATATTCAAGTTATGTAATGTTGTAAAAAGCACAGCGCTGCCAACGGGCGCCAATAATGCGCCTGCGCACTACAATTTTAAATATCAATATCCGCGTCTATTCTTTGGAATGTGATTCGTGGTTGCTGCTGCTGCTGCTGCTGCACTTGCTCTAAACTTGAACGCAGCATCTTGAAGCGGAAAAACTAAAGGGGGAGGAGGAGGAGGTGGTGGGGAAAACCAAACAGAGCCAAAGGTGCGCCAATGTAAGCAAGGGATTGTTAGCTGCACTTGTGCATTTGGCTTTTATGAAAACCTGTTTTTGTGCTTAGCTGCTCATCGAAACAATAATATGACTTTGACTTGGTCTTTATTTGTAAATCGCATATATAATCCATAAATATGCAACCTATTTGTCTCTGTTTTGCTCCCTGCATTTCCAATTAGACTTTTATTCGTGAGTCCGCTTTGGCGCGCCATTCGCATTGCAAATCAGCTAGCCAAAGCAAAGCAGAGCGAAAAGTGAATGCACTAATTTCGCCTTGGCATCCGGCGCAGATTTGTTGTTGTTATTGTTGTCGTTGGCCGCTGTTCATGTTTCTTCTTGTATCTATTACATGTCGTCGCCTGCACTTGGACACCCAACTGCACACACTCATATGCCAGCCGCAGACAGTGCGTCTGTCTGTGTGCCGCTGGGTCGCCAATCTGCGCCTACCACTGCACTCGTGTGTAGATACAATTTCTAATTGAAATAGATCCACTGGCAGCAACGCAATTGATTCCCCAATTAAATTGGCGGCTGCTGGGAGCACAGAATGAACTGTCCAACGTGCTTATGTAACCTTCAGTTTCTTTTGCCCAGCACCACCTAGCCAATTATGTAAATCCCTTCTAGTTTTTTGAAAAACCCCAAAGATAAGAGTACTATATACAGTACTATACATATGCTCGTTTCCGTTCCATGTTTCTTTACACATTTCTCAATGGAAACAAAAAGAGACGGCGCAAGATAACGGTACGGATGTAGGAGGCAGGGCAGGGGCAGGGGCAGATCGGTGGCTGCAGTAATTTTTGATTTAGGTTACACACACACACACACGCTGAAATCATATCTGAGAATTCTAACGAAGCTGCTAGTTATAAATATACATGGGTGGGACAGAGATGAATTTCACACATACCCCCCACCCTCCCCCACAGGCCGACCAGAAGGTGAAATAAAACGACACACACACGCAAATGCCAACCCTACCCCAACCCCAACAACAAAAGCAAGTAAAATGCGCGCCATAAACAAATTACACAGCACTAGCACACGAAATGGGCCCCACTGTCCCATGGTGGGGCCATGGGAGTGAGCAGGATGGCCGGTCATCTGTAATGCACGTTGCCATCACTTTTGTTGCATCGCTAGAGAAGGTAGAACAAATAAAAGTGGGAGGGAGGGAGGTAGGTAGGGGTGTGGGAGGAAAGCGAACACGAAAGCTTATCGTCACGCACTCACACATGCAAACCAACTATGTAGGGTCTTGAAAAGAGAAAAATTCTATTCCGATCTTTGAAATCAAAGTGAACAATTAAAAATAGGTGGGCGGCTTATATTAGTTGTGCCAGCCATTGTTTAGATTATTAACAGTTTTGGGGACTACGTGACTGTGTAGAGGAAGACATGCCCCATTGGCATGTACTTTCCCGTTCAAACACAATGGGCGGGTTGGCACTTTGGCTTTTGCATACGGATGGCGGGTGGCATTTGTTAGTTTTTGCTCTGCTCGCGGTGTCAACTAATTGCGTCTTAGTTTATTTATTTATTTGTTCCGCTTTGGCTCGCTATAGAGTGTGCCTAATTCGATCAATTCGCAGTGCTCTATTTAGTGAGATTATCAACACATAAATGGGGAGCGGGTGGGGACCACCCCTTTGCGACAATCTCTATGTGCCAGGGGGTGGCTTTCAAAGGGGGGCTTTGGACATGTTATCGAAGCCTCGATTTGGGTCCCTATTGCTTTCGCGATTTTTGCATTAGTTCGGCCTGCGCTGCGCAGAATATAAAACAAGCGCACCACAAAAAGTTGTCTATCAACTTTTGCTTTCATTTTGTGGCGAAAATTCGCGCGTACAGAGAGCCAGGAACTGGCAAAAATAACAATTGCAAAAATCACGTATGCGTAAAGAGCACAGCACAGGAAAACTTGAAGCAGATAGCCAGTGCGCAGGAGCGAGACAAATGGTCTAAAAACACACACACACATGCGCGCTGCGACAACTGCGGCCAACTTCAAGGCGTACAAGCGGGCAAACAGCGAAAACACGCAATAAAAAGTTTGACGAAAACAAGACCAAAGAAAAGGGAATAAAGTCTATGCGATTAACGTTGCGCTGTTCTAACATTCTGGATATTGGACCAAGGTGATTCCAAAATGGCGTCAACTGTGCAAAAAACGAATTAACAAAATAAAGGTGTCAATATGCGGATTGTTTGTTGTCAATTTTCGTTGCATGCCCAAAACGAAAGTTGATGCGCATGTCAATACGTAGGAGAGATGACAATACGCCTAGGAATACACATTCGGATGAAAATTTTCTATGGGAGTGTCGGCTCGGTATTTACAGCCAAAATTATCTCATAATTCGCACATCAAAACATATTTTTATTTCCGAAATTCAACAAAACATTCGCCCTGGGTTGGCAACTCTGTGTCTTGGGGCTCTATTACGTCTAACTTCACGTTGCACAAAACGGAATCGAAAGCAAAACAAACGAATGTGTGCGAGCGAGTACACTATATTATCGGTTCAATTAAACATGGCGACACAGCATGCAAAAAAAAAAGGTTTACAAAAAAAAAAAAAAGAATCAAAGCATCAACAAATGCAATATTTAAATCGCTTTGACTAGCATTGAACCACAATTACGGCTAGCGGGGCCCACCTAACCGCAAATAATGTCTTTCGGCGTTTGCGTTGGAAAATTCTAGCTAGTTCACAGAAGTTTCGCGGTTTAGTATTGCGCGCGCGCACTTTTTTTTTTTTTTAACTCACCGCTTATTCTCTTGATTCGTGATTTACTTCATTTTGCACAATTGTTTGGATCGCAAAGAGTTTCGCGGCTCTTTCCTTTGGTTTTAAATCACTTTTTGTTCTAGTTATGATTTTATGAAACAAATATAGTTTGTATTTTTTTCACATTCGCACTTGATTTTTGTTCTTTTGCACATTTTTAAATAACTGCACTTAGAAGATGTAGCGACGCAGTCTTATACGTTTACTACCTGCAATATAGCAAATGTTTCCACTTTGATTAATCAATTTTATTATTAATAATACCGTATGGCACAAGAAACGGGGTATAAAACGCGAAGGAAAACACAGACTCTTGTGGGGGCCAGAGCGTATGTGGGAGCGGGATGACTATGGTGTCCGGCCTGGCGCATATCTAGTGTTGCCGTTTTGACTTGTGGCGTGGGCTTGCCAACTACCTATTATCGGCTATTTTATTTTGTTCGCAGAGATGTCTGCTTCTTCTTGATTTTCGTGTTGCACTGTTCCCCTGCTTTAGCCTATTACTCTGCCTCTGACCATTCTGAAATGCTGTACGTACATATTTCGATTTCGCCTTTCCACCTATTCGTTGATACCCACACATACGTATTTCTGTGCATGCCTCTATGTAGGTATGTGTAAATCTATACTTTCGTACATACGGATGTTGGCGCACATATACACAAAATAGAAAATAGTTAAATATTGCTAACTATATGTACTCGGCCCTAAAATATCGCTTTTGAGGTGTTTCCAACAACTTCAACCACATTCCTGGAAAATCAAATTCCAGATACACATGCAAAAGATTCAAACGAAATCCGATCGAGGTGGCAGTTTGATATATGAAACTTATTGGCACCCTATCGGCTAACTAATTTAAAACTAATTCACTAGAATGGCAGATTCAAAAACTAACATTTTTGAACAATTCTTTATCCTACACTCATACAAATAATATATATAAATATGTATATATAGCCCGCTGCTAGTACACGTTAAGCGTTATCCCGCTCGCACTTACGCTTCACACGTATTGTGCCTCTCGCATTATGTGTTTCCCTCTTTTTTCAACACGCTAATAAGAAATAGTAAGTTAAAAGTGCCTTTGCGGCCAAACTAACACGATTCACGGGTGAATTTCATAGTGCTGCGGCTGCCGGGCTCGCATGCAACGTATCAAGTTATTTTCACAATTTTTTCCTGTCTCAGAGCTTGATTTCCACGCGTTTTCTTCGCAACACAACACAACTTTCCGCTTACGATTTACAATGAGTGTTGCCAGATGGAACGAGAAGCAATGCTCATCTCTAGGCAATAGATGCGTTTTTATCGATATATCGATAAGGAAAAGTATCTTTTTTAAGAACCGATAATTTTCAAATAAATAAAAATATTTCTGTAAAACGCAATACAAAATGGGTAAAATTCAATTTAATAAAATTAGAAAATCGTATTGTCTTTTGCACAACTGCAGAAGTAGCTAGGGACGGTTTGGGTTTCGATTTTGGTATTTTTTCCCCAATTGTTTCGATCAAGAAACGGCCACATAGCATAGATTGGCAATTTTCGACAAATGAAAATATTTATTTTTGGGATCGAAACAATCCAAAATGGAAGCAAACGTCAATCCCTTGGCTGTCATTCTGGTTTATTTTGACAGCAAAGGAGACCGCCTACTTTATAGGTATCCGTATCAGACGCTGGGGCAGACAAAAACGGCCAGCGAGGATCAGCGCAAGTCCAGGTGCGGATTGGGTGCTTTAGTCTCAAGTGAATCATTCCAATGCTTTTCCATTCAGAAAGCGCAATCCCTTCGCTGTGACGCATGTGGATGACTTGCTGCAGACTCCGTCACAGGTGGTTGCCTCCCAAACAGGACAGGGCCAGCTCCAGGGCTTTGCTGATGATGTGCTTTCCGCACTGTTCGCGGTTAAGCCGCAGTTGTGCAACCAAAAATTCGAGCTCAAGCTGAACGACGTCCGTTTCGTGAGCCACCCCACCCTGATTCCCCATAAGGAGCAAGGCTCCAGGAGCGCAGCAGGGACTGGAACAAGTTCTACGACCTTGGCGAATCCCTCTAAAAAACAGCAGATGCTGATAAATATTGTGTTTGCGTTGAACGCCCAGGCCAGCTATTCAATAGTCAAGTGCTATCATGAGCTGAGTAAGCGCTTAGGTTTGGCGCTGAAGTTTGAGGAACAAAGTAGTGGCTACCTCACCGAGCAGACCGCACAAATGGCCCGCACCCACGACGAGCAGCAGCAGCAGCCACTGGAGGACACCCTGGCGTTGATAGCTGAGCGCTGCACTTTAGCGCAATCGCTGCGCTCAATCTTTCACGACCTGAGCAACACGGGCTTGCTAAGCACATCGCTAAACCACAACCTGACCCTCTGCTTTTGCCTGCCAGCCAAGGCGCACCAGCTGCACAAGAAGGGAAGCATGGTGGACCCGGAAACCATAGACCGATGCCTTCGCGCCCTAAAGCCTTATCACGGCATGCTGTTGTTGGTAGACTTTGCCGAGTTGCTGGACTGCGTCCCGCCAACGGGTGCCCGAATGCTGTGGCAACTGGTGGATGCCTATAATCCACTGATAAGCCTGCAGAGTATGGCCTCTAAAGCGGATCTAAGCATCGAACATGTCTACAAGTTAGTCTCGCATCTTGTGTACTGGGCCAAGGCCACTATAATTTATCCGTTGTGCGAAACTAATGTGTATGTCATTGCACCAGACGCCCCTCTTCACACGAAATCTCATCTGGTGGAGAAGTTCTCGACCCGTTTCGCAGGCATGTCGCTCTTCGAAGTAATCTCGGACTTCTCGCTGCCCACCAGCATCGGCCATCTGACTACTCCGTTACAGCAGCCGGCGCGCCAAGGCATCCTCGCCCAGATGGTAATTTGGATGCTGCAGCACCACCTTCTCATGCAGCTGCACACGTACGTGCAGTTTATGCCCAGCGAGGACGAGTTTGGGGACTCGGCTTCCGCCTCCTGCAGCCAACAGCTGCGAGATGCTCCCAGCGACGAGGAACAGGAGCAAGATCCAGACGTAGACCAGGATGAACTTCACGATGGCTCCATGCTAAGCATGACCAGCCAGCCGTTGCCCGTGCCCGTATCCTCTGTATCAATTTCGATTGGTGGACTCCATCGCCGCGAAGCATCTGAGGAGCAATCTTCGCTGGCATCAGACAACATTGCCGTGCAGCCATCATCCAGCCATAAGTCCAACTTTAGCATTACCGCCTCCATGAGCACGGACAACTGCGACAGCCTTGACTCGATGGAAGATGAACAGAAGCTCAAGGAGCTGCTGCAGGTGTTTAGTGAGCCAGATCGCGCTGCCATTCGGCGTATTCCAGCGTCCGCTAACGTCGATGATCTCTCGCTGCTGGTCAAGCTCTACCAGATGGGGTACTTCAAGAGCGAACACCACTTGGAAGAGATCATGTACTTTGAAAATTTACGCCGCTCCCAGCTGCTGCAGCTACTTGACAAGTTCCGCGACGTTTTGATTATATACGAGACTGAAGATCCGGCTATCGCCTCCATGTACAATACTAAGTAGCTTGGCTATAAATCAGCATTCCAAAGGTTTTCTTGTTTTTGTTAGCTATCAAATAAAATAATTGTAAACAGTGAGCTAAGTTTATTTGTGGATATGTAATTATATATTCTATTCTAATTCTGATTCTATATGTAATTGATATTCAAATTCACCGCCTTTAACTTATCGTTCTATATATCGATAGTATCGTCTTGATAGTATCGTCTTTAACGGTACTCGATACATAAATAAACAAATAAATGAATGGAATGAAAAAAAATGTAACAGCGTGGATCATATATCTAAAAGTATTGGGTCTGGCTTCAAAATATTTTCTTTTCAAACTTAAATTATTACACTTTTCCTCACATTTAGCTGAGAAAATCAAACAAGAATGTGCTGGACAAATGATGGCGATGTTTTCGTGACTATCGCTGGTGCAAGCCGGCTCCGACTCGTAATACTATCGATAGTTGCATAGATGGCTTGCCAGCTCCAGTAAAGAAATCAAAACTTGAAATTTAAGTCTTCACGATGAGCTTTTCGCATAAATGTAGTATTTGTTGGGTAAAGTCCGACTGCCTTGTGGATCGCAACGGACAAAGAATCTCCGCGCGGCGCTGCTTTGACGGATTGAGGGAGTTTCTATGCGTGGATTGCGCGTACGCTGAGGAACATGCCTATTGGGTGAGGAGCCGGGAGGCGCAACGCATTCGGAAGGAGACCGAAAATGCTACGAAGGCTTTGGATAATAAGAATGGTGGCATAAAAGAAGAAAATGCGAACGGACTAATATTGCAGGTTCCACAATCCCAACGTCTTGAGCCAGCGGACATCCTCGCACCTATCATCGAAATGGCTCCAGAGGCCGCCAGCGGCCTCGAATCTACTAATATATTTGAGACAGAAAACCTCAAGTCGATTGGAATATTAACAGGCAGGATTGAAAAATCGGAATCCCATGAGACAGCATCTAACTCCAATGATTCCGCTCGTACACGTATACTTCGCAAAAGGGAAGCTTCAAAGGAAAATGATACAAATCAGTTGACAAAAACCAAGCAGATGAAGGTCACCGAAGACAAAAACAACCAAAAGCGAGCATCAAGTGGCTACCAATGTCAGAAATGTCCACCATCCTTCTTGAAATGCTTGCTTGAAATGCAGAATCGCAACCACAATCGGGATCGCCCGTACCAGTGCTCCAAATGCCCAAAAGCTTTCAGTCGGGCCACCTGAAGCAACGTCGTCGTCACTGGAGAATCACATGCAGCAGAAAAGCCTTAATAATTTAAGAATGACAGGAAGTTATGAATTATTTGTTCCTTATAGAATTAATTATAGTTAAACAGCATTATAACCTTGCCCTATGTTTAAGACGCATATACGAGAGCATTGCATTTATAATTTACCAGTTTAGTTTTTTTTTTCTTTAATCGACATTCGAATCGAAATTTTTTTTTTTTTTTTTATATACAGCTAAAGTTAATATGTAAATTTAAGTGAAAGGTTTGTTTTTCAAAACATGTCAATAAATGCTTGAATGAACTGAATATGGTCATTTAAAAGACCTTTTTTTTGGGCGTCCTCTTGGACGTGATGCGTTTTTGTATGCTGCATTATTATGAGTGCGGCTGTGGGATGCTAGTTGGACTTTTCCGGTGAAGGTACGCGGGCAGTCGGGGCATTGAAAAACCTTCTTCTTTGGCTCCTCTATAAACTCCTCAGAATCCTCCTCCATCTTGACTTCCACCTCCTTGCTGTCCTCTACATCCTTGCCATCCTCTGCATCCCCGTTTTTCCTCTGGATGCGGTCAATCAGCTCCCAGTCTTCACTTTCCAAAAAATCGCACACTTCGTGGTCGTTCGCCTCCGTCTTCATCATTTTGAGTGTTTCCATGCTCCTTTTATAGCGTCGCTTAAAATGATAGGCCTGTCGGAGTTTTTTTATGCACAGCTCGCACATCACTTGAGGAAAGAATTCTCCAGTTTCCACGGGACCTCCACTGCATTCTTGCAGCAGGAATCCAGGCGAGACCTCCGACTCATTGCAGTTCTTGAGGTCTTCCGAGAGCTTATCGGTGAATGTCCCGATTTCGTCCAATTTCACGAGGACTGTTGCCTCTGCCATGCAAACACGGCACATTTTCTTTAAGTCAGTCATCGCAGCTGGATTATAATTTAAAAATTGTTCACATATAGTTCCTTCTGATTAGTGTGACCGTAATGGAGTAAGTAAAATACCTCCACCCAGGGATACATGAATATTGACATTACATTGGCAATATTGACCCGATTCCTAAGCGGAATATCTTAAGCAATTCGTAGATCGATTCTCCATGAATCTGCAACAAAATCTAACGACAAAATATTTTTTAGATTTTTTGTCAAATTTTCTGGAGGGTCCCCTTCAAAAATCCACAAAAGTGGGTCCACCCACAATATGGCCCCTGGGGAAGGCTATATCTTTGGCAATATTTCTCCAATTCTTAAGCGGAATACCTTAAACGATTCGTGGATCGATTCTCCATGAATCTGCATCAAAATCTAGCAACAAAATATTTTTTTAATTTTTTGTCAAATTTTCTGGAGGGTCCCCTTCAAAAATCCACAAAAGTGGGTCCACCCACTATATGGCCCCTGAAGGCATATGAAGGCTATATCTTTGGCAATATTTATCAGATTCTTAAGCGGAATACCTTAAACGATTCGTTGATCGATTCTCCATAAATCTGCATCAAAATCTGAAAACAAAATATTTTTCAGATTTTTTGTCAAATTTTCTGGAGGGTGCCCTTCAAAAATCGACAAAAGTGGGTCCACCCACTATATGGCCCCTGGGGAAGGCTATATCTTTGGCGATATTTCTCCGATTCTTAAGCGGAATACCTTAAACCATTCGTGGATCGATTCTCCATAAATCTGCATCAAAATCTGAGAACAAAATATTTTTTACATTTTTTGTCAAATTTTCTGGAGGGTCCCCTTCAAAAATCCACAAAAGTGGGTCCACCCACTATATGGCCCCTGGTGAAGGCTATATCTTTGGCAATATTTATCAGATTCTTAAGCGGAATACCTTAAACGACTCGTGGATCGATTCTCCATAAATCTGCATCAAAATCTGAGAACAAAATATTTTTTAGATTTTTTGTCAAATTTTCTGGAGGGTCCCCTTCAAAAATCCACAAAAGTGGGTCCACCCACAATATGGCCCCTGGGGAAGGCTATATCTTTGGCAATATTTCTCCAATTCTTAAGCGGAATACCTTAAACGATTCGTGGATCGATTCTCCATGAATCTGCATCAAAATCTAGCAACAAAATATTTTTTTAATTTTTTGTCAAATTTTCTGGAGGGTCCCCTTCAAAAATCCACAAAAGTGGGTCCACCCACTATATGGCCCCTGAAGGCATATGAAGGCTATATCTTTGGCAATATTTATCAGATTCTTAAGCGGAATACCTTAAACGATTCGTTGATCGATTCTCCATAAATCTGCATCAAAATCTGAAAACAAAATATTTTTCAGATTTTTTGTCAAATTTTCTGGAGGGTGCCCTTCAAAAATCGACAAAAGTGGGTCCACCCACTATATGGCCCCTGGTGAAGGCTATATCTTTGGCAATATTTCTCCGATTCCTAAGCGGAATACCTTAAACGATTCGTGGATTGATTCTCAATAAATCTGCAACAAAATCTAACGACAAAATATTTTTTAGATTTTTTTTCAAATTTTCTGGAGGGTCCCCTTCAAAAATCCACAAAAGTGGGTCCACTTACTATATGGCCCCTTGTGAAGGCTATATCTTTGACAATATTTATCAGATTCCTAAGCGGAATACCTTAAACGATTCGTGGATTGATTCTCAATAAATCTGCATCAAAATCTGAGAACAAAATATTTTTTAGATTTTTTGTCAAATTTTCTGGAGGGTCCCCTTCAAAAATCCACAAAAGTGGGTCCACCCACAATATGGCCCCTGAGAAAGGCTATATCTTTGACAATATTTATCAGATTCTTAAGCGGAATACCTTAAACGATTTGTGGATCGATTCTCCATAAATCTGGATCAAAATCTGAGAACAAAATATTTTTCAGATTTTTTGTCAAATTTTCTGGAGGGTCCCCTTCAAAAATCCAAAAAAGTGTGTCCACCCACTATATGGCCCCTGACGAAGGCTATATCTTTGGCAATAATCATCCGATTCTTAAGCGGAATACCTTAAACGATTCGTGGATCGATTCTCCATAAATCTGCATCAAAATCTGAGAACGAAATATTTTTTACATTTTTTGTCAAATTTTCTGGAGGGTCCCCTTCAAAAATCCACAAAAGTGGGTCCACCCACTATATGGCCCCTGACGAAGGCTATATCTTTGGCAATAATCATCCGATTCTTAAGCGGAATACCTTAAACGATTCGTGGATCGATTCTCCATAAACCTGCATCAAAATCTGAGAACGAAATATTTTTTAGATTTTTTGTCAAATTTTCTGGAGGGTCTCCTTCAAAAATCCACAAAAGTGGGTCCACCCACTATATGGCCCTGGTGAAGGCTATATCTTTGGCAATATTTATCAGATTCTTAAGCGGAATACCTTAAACGACTCGTGGATCGATTCTCCATAAATCTGCATCAAAATCTGAGAACAAAATATTTTTTAGATTTTTTGTCAAATTTTCTGGAGGGTCCCCTTCAAAAATCCAAAAAAGTGGGTCCACCCACTATATGGCCCCTGACGAAGGCTATATCTTTGGCAATAATCATCCGATTCTTAAGCGGAATACCTTAAACGATTCGTGGATCGATTCTCCATAAACCTGCATCAAAATCTGAGAACGAAATATTTTTTAGATTTTTTGTCAAATTTTCTGGAGGGTCTCCTTCAAAAATCCACAAAAGTGGGTCCACCCACTATATGGCCCTGGTGAAGGCTATATCTTTGGCAATATTTATCAGATTCTTAAGCGGAAAACCTTAAACGATTCGTGGATCGATTCTCCATAAATCCGCATCAAAATCTGAGAAAAAAATATTTTTTAGATTTTTTGTCAAATTTTCTGGAGGGTCCCCTTCAAAAATCCAAAAAAGTGGGTCCACCCACTATATGGCCCCTGACGAAGGCTATATCTTTGGCAATAATCATCCGATTCTTAAGCGGAATACCTTAAACGATTCGTGGATCGATTCTCCATAAATCTGCATCAAAATCTGAGAACGAAATATTTGTTAGATTTTTTGTCAAATTTTCTGGAGGGTCCCCTTCAAAAATCCACAAAAGTGGGTCCACCCAGTATATGGCCCCTGGCGAAGGCTATATCTTTGGCAATAATCATCCGATTCTTAAGCGGAATACCTTAAACGATTCGTGGATCGATTCTCCATAAATCTGCATCAAAATCTGAGAACGAAATATTTGTTAGATTTTTCGTCAAATTTTCTGGAGGGTCCCCTTCAAAAATCCACAAAAGTGGGTCCACCCAGTATATGGCCCCTGGCGAAGGCTATATCTTTGGCAATATTTATCAGATTCTTAAGCGGAATACCTTAAACGATTTGTGGATCAATTCTCCATAAATCTGCATCAAAATATGAGAACAAAATATTATTTAGATTTTTTGACAAATTTTCTGGAGGGTCCCCTTCAAAAATCCACAAAAGTGGGTCCACCCAGTATATGGCCCCTGGCGAAGGCTATATCTTTGGCAATATTTATCAGATTCTTAAGCGGAATACCTTAAACGATTCGTGGATCGATTCTCCATAAATCTGCATCAAAATCTGAGAACAAAATATTTTTTAGATTTTTTGTCAAATTTTCTGGAGGGTCCCCTTCAAAAATCCACAAAAGTGGGTCCACCCACTATATGGCCCCTGGGGAAGGCTATATCTTTGGCAATATTTCTCCGATTCTTAAGCGGAATACCTTAAACCATTCGTGGATCAATTCTCCATAAATCTGCATCAAAATCTGAGAACAAAATATTTTTCAGATTTTTTGTCAAATTTTCTGGAGGGTCCCCTTCAAAAATCCACAAAAGTGGGTCCACCCACTATATGGCCCCTGGTGAAGGCTATATATTTGACAATATTTATCAGATTCTTAAGGGGAATACCTTAAACGATTCGTGGATCAATTTTCCATAAATCTGCATCAAAATCTGAGAACAAAATATTTTTCAGATTTTTTGTCAAATTTTCTGGAGGGTCCCCTTCAAAAATCCACAAAAGTGGGTCCACCCACTATATGGCCCCTGGGGAAGGCTATATCTTTGGCGATATTTCTCCGATTCTTAAGCGGAATACCTTAAACCATTCGTGGATCGATTCTCCATAAATCTGCATCAAAATCTGAGAACAAAATATTTGTTAGATTTTTTGTCAAATTTTCTGGAGGGTCCCCTTCAAAAATCCACAAAAGTGGGTCCACCCACTATATGGCCCCTGGTGAAGGCTATATCTTTGACAATATTTATCAGATTCTTAAGGGGAATACCTTAAACGATTCGTGGATCGATTCTCCATAAATCTGCATCAAAATCTGAGAACAAAATATATTTTAGATTTTTTGTCAAATTTTCTGGAGGGTCCCCTTCAAAAATGGGGAAAATACAAGGAAGCGCAATATGACCCACAGGGAAGGCCATATTTTAGCCATTTATCATCCAAATTCCAAGAGAATTTATGTATAATGAATTGTTAACAATAGGTATAACGTCTAAAGAGGGTAAACTTCAAGCTATTCATGAGAAAGCTTTACCTTTGGCTATATTTATAAGACTCTTTAGCAGAGTTGTTTTGTAAAATACTGAGGCAAAGTTCATCCTGCCGCAGGTCATTGTCTTCCACTATCGCGTCTTGGCAATGGAGGGAAGCTAATGGTGCAAGCGGGACTATGTATAGATTTTCAACCATCGCAGTGATAAGCAAAACAATTTTTTATTACAAAAGAGTGCACATCGGCACTATATATGTATATATGTATATTGCATATTTAACGCCCTCGGGGCGGGAAAATAAGTAAGATTACAGAAAATCGAAACGATGAGTGAGTGGGAAATGTTTACATTTCCACATATGTGGGCATGGTCATGACACCACAGTTGTTCTTGCGGGCGGACATCAGGATGTATCCATCGTTGCCCCAGTAGGTGGACCACGAGTTCTTCACCAGCCAGTAGTCCTCGCCATTGATGGTGCCATAACCCACAGCCAGCACGGCATGGTCAAGTCCATCCACGTCGTTCTTGCATTCCGGTTCGTAGTACACACCGTGAGAGTAGAAGCTGAAGGTCTTGGGGGAGGCGTCAATGGCCACCGACAGAGGCCCGTGCTTGAGCAGAGCCAGCTTGAAGGCGTTCGGGTCGTTGGAGGTCACGTTTACGAAGCCCTTGATCGGAGCCACCAAGGTCACGTTGTTGATGTGGCAATAGCCATCCTGTCCCAGGTAGGGACCGTACTCCTCTTCAGTGGGCACACCTCCGACCTGCAGCATCCACTGGTAGACGCGGAAGTCCTCACCGCCGTCACAGCCATTGTTTCCATACGCCCAGGAGCAATCGATCAAGGCCTGCTGCGAGAGTCGGACCAGGTTGCCTCCGTTTTTCAAGAAGAAGGCACCCTCCAGGTGACCAATGGTTCCAAACGACCAGCAGGATCCGCAGACAGATTGATCTGCAAAGAAGGGCAATGTTTAATCCAAAATTCTAAGGAGACAAGTGGTTGCTTAGCTTACCTTTTACGGGTGTGACGGCTCCGAAGAGTCTCCAATCGTACTGCGCGGGGATTTCATCCTTGAATTTGGGCACATCGTAAGGGAAGGGTTTACCGGTGTTGTAGACACCAGAGGATCGGTAGCCACGACGCGCCTTGAGCTCGTCCTCGGTCTTGTCAGCCAGGTGGTTAACGGCCAGCGTATAGCTGAGCTTGGCACGGTTCTTGGAGTGAATGTAACGCAGATTCTGACGGAAGATGTTCATGCGGTGCTCGTGCTCCTTGTCGCTGTTATAGGAGACTCCGTGCTTGCGCTTGAAGTGATGGAAGGCCTTCTCCACATGCTTATCGACGCCACTAACAAACTCTTGCATTGGGTTGAAGGTGGCGAAGTGACCTGTGCCTGGTCCGGGGAATCCGACGCACTGCAGGCTATCGTCGATCTCGAACACCTCGTTGGGAATGTCGTCGTGCTCGTAGCTATCATAGTCGAGGTAGTAGTGGTCGTAGTGGGAGCCCAATAGGGTATTGTAGCCCCGCATTTCGTAGCGCACGGGGATGGGCATTCGGCTGGCCGGGTAGTGAGGCGACTTCTTGTAGCGCACCCACAACGTATACACGTTCTTCTTCTGACCAATGACCGACTCCAGCCGGAACTTGTCGCAGGTGTAGCCCAAAAAGGTTTCTGTTCCCACCAGCTGGAAGGGTTTCGCATCCGGCAGAATGCTCTGGATCTGCACCGACTCCTCCTTAGTTCCATTCACCTGCAGGCATGTCAGCTTGTTCGTCTCCGTTTTGGTGGTAATGGGGGCCAGCTTCAACATGGTACCAAAGTCTCCCTCTCCGGCCAATTGGTACGTCTTCACCATTCCGCCGTAATAGTCGATGCGGGAGCGTTTTGTGTTCTTGTCATACCAGGCATAAAAGGGCTCGGCGATCTCGGCGTAGGGAATGTACAAGGTACCCTTGACAATGTAGTTGGGGTCCCATTTCGGTGGATTTGTAGCATCGCCTAAAAAAAGAATATGAATTATATTTTTTAAACTTTTGTTTTAAAAAAAACTCTATTAAGTTTCTAGTATTAAATCTTTAAAATAAAATATACAGTAAATCAAAAACGGGATAAATCTTTAAAATCTAGAACGGTAAAGGGCCGACATTGCGGATTCAAGCTCACGCCATAGTTGACATATATACATATTAAAATCACATATTTATGAACAGCACTGTACAAAATATTAGTGAGGAGTTTTTTGTTTTTATTCAAGATTTTTTTATAAAATCAAGACATATTTTTGAGTTAATATTAAGTTTAAGCTGCTCTCATTTTAATATATGTACATATATATAGGTACCTCAGTGTATAATTGATTAATTTCAAATGCAACTCGCACAATCTAATAAAATATATGTACTTCTTTGTTTTGCTAACTATTTTTCACCTTCTAATGTAACTTACCTGATAATATCAGGCCTACCAGCAGGCCTAAGGCTAACACCACTCTCATTATGGGGAATACTAAAACACTGGAACTCTGTCTGGAGTCTCAACTTTCTCAATCGCGATCACTTTTCAATCTGAGCTTTTTGTTCGACAAATTAAACTGTTCTGCCGGCTCAAGGGGCCATCTAATAGATTATATACAGACATATATTTATTTATATATATACTTACGTCAGTGATGCTCAGCTAAATCGTTTGCCTGAATCACCCTGTGGCGGCTTTGTTGAGTCGTGTTATCGATAACATTTTGGCGCGAAAAAGCTTTTTATATCTATCGAAGATTTTAGTTTAAAAAGGATTTATATTTTTATTGAAATTTAGACGGAAAGATATTAGTTTGTAAAGAAGATACATTTATAATTAAACTGTAATACGTGGCGTATGGGTAATTTATTTCGAAAGTGTCAATTAGAGGTAATTTGGGCTAATATTTGCAAAATTGAACAACAGCTGACTTAAAATCAGCAGCAAGGACCTTTCTCCGTCTCCTATTTTTGCCAACTTGGTTCTCTCACCGGTTTTAAACTGAGAGCCACGACCAGATGTGATTCCACCACCGATGAAGCAGCATCGTCTTCGTCCACGCATCGTCCTTCACCGTTACTGGTGCCGCTGGTAACGGTATCTGGCCGTTCGGTTCGGCTCTTCTCCGCTCAGTTCCGTTCAGTTCGCAGTTCGCACGGGTCACAGACGGGCCAGTTTTAATTGGCACAGTGTTTTCTCTAGCGTGGACTAGACAACTCACAGATACCTGACATGGCAGTGTGTATAAACGGCCAAGTGCAAGACGTGGATTAATGTAAACCAACCCAGCAAAGTCGCAATTAAAATTGCATTAAAATTTAAAGCATTGTGTTTGTGTGTGATGTGAGAGTGGTGTGGAAAGTTCCATTTAGCCCAATACTGCAAAATTGGCAAAAGTTAAATGATTCAAGTGCCAAGTTTGATGATTAAAGCTCAAACTTTTAATTCGTGGGCGATTACAATGTTTCGGTAATTGGCACTGGAGGAGCAAGAGCCCACAAAAGGTATAAAGCTTGGCTGAAAATTAAATCAAACTTTGATTTCCCGCTGATTGGTCGTCTGGGGGCGACTGGGGGGCGGCCAATATTGTTTTTGTTGTGCGGGTCCGTACACTCTGACAAGAAATCACAGACGAACTTACATCTGTATTCATTTTACATAGGTATACTATAGTCCGGACTCCGGAGTACATGGCTGATAGCTGTGTGTATGTATATATTAGGGGCATGTCGGAGCATTTCCTGCCCCTGTCACAGTTGTTTGTTACGTTTTCTCTATGCTGCTACTCTGCAGGACACCCCCACCTAACCATCCAGTTATCAAAAAGTCAACAAAAACAATTTGAATTATGTATGTGCAGAGATATAAGAGGAACTGAAGAATGGAGGCACAGAAACTGCCTTGAGTTTCTTCCATAAAATAGAAATTAGGAATGGAAATTAATAAAAATTTATATTATAATGGTTTTTATTGAATTTTTTACTATTTTGTGTTGGGGTTTCTTTAATAAACACTTCTAAAGCTTACAATTATTCATAGTTTTTATTACATGTAATCTAAAAGCCCTCTTATACTTTCCTTCCTATGAATAGATCCTATTTTTTTAGCCCCAAAAGTACGTAACTTTGATTTCCGACAAAATGAAATATACCTCACCCAGCTGACTTAAGCTACACTGCAAGTAGGACCCTTCAAAGGCACATATACTGCTATAAACTCGCCGAAAATACGAAAACTTTTATTACCCCAGTGCAGGACACTCGCCAAGGGAAACGGAAAGTGCTAAAATATATTGCATATATGCATTTGTGTCGGTGTGTACGTTTGTGTGTGTGCGTGATTTGTGGTCGCTGTGTGTAACCTACATTTAAAACGGCATCGGCGACACATAAGAAGCCAAAAGCCGTGGCCGAATCCGACTAGGTAGCATGTCGAGGGGGCTAAGGGGGGGTTTCGGCGTATGTAAATTCGCCTTTATCAGTGCCAAAAAGCACAAACACACACATACACACTCATACTTTGTTTTAAATACACCAACACGTGCATGTTCCGCATAGTCCTATGTACCGCTAGTATCAACCACTCTCTGGGGGCCGGCGCACGGCTTTCGTGAGAGTGAGAGTTCGGTGGGTGCCGAGCGAAAGAGAGCGAGTGGTGACGATGTTAGTTCCTTTCGATACCGTTACTGTAACATCGCCCGCCCCCTATTCTGGCACCCTTTCCGTGCCCTTCGCCGCCACACAAATGCACCCAGAATTGCGTTCATTCACATCGGCGCTGCAATAGTGTGCACTCGGAAAATATCAAGTACCCTGTTCGCAAATCACTCACGAACAATCCAGTATTTTGATAGCCATAATGCTAGGTGAGTGGCGTTAGAAGAATGCTAATATGCATGGTATAAGGAAGTACTTGATTCTGTTCGAAAATAGTGTAATTTGCAGAACGCAACGCAAAGCTCATTAAAATGGTGATTGCATTATAAAAGGATTACACTCGAAATAATAATAGTGAGGGCAAATGGGGTTTTCAACAAAAAACAAAATTATTCTCTTAAAAGTATGCTACTAATATTTTCATTGGTTTCTGTTGGATGGAAATAATGTTTTTTTTCATTAAAGTTTCTCTATTATTCTCTCAGTGTAGTGTCCACTAAGCCGCTGCCATCTATCCGTCTTACTCCCCGCCACCAAAGCCAATGCAGAACCCTTGTTATTGGACTTGCGTTTCCGTTATTCCAGTTTACGGCTCAGCCGGTGGAAATTTATATGCAAAGTGCTGGGCAAAAATTGCATTATGTACATTTAATGGTTCGCCGAGACATAAAAATATCTCGCACTTACATAAATTGCTCTGCTCTTTGCTATTTACATCGTCCCCCCAACCCAACCCTTTCTTCCCCCCCCCACTTACTTACCAAAAGTTTCCGCTTTTAAACGTGTTCGTAATTACATAAACACTCTTACTTACCCACGGCCGGGATTGAAATATGCAGGTATTTTTGTTTGTCCTGGTGGAAGAAAATTTATTTTGAGTGCGGAAACTTTTAGTTTCTCTCTCCTTCTGCTCGGGAGAAGAATAGAAATAAATTGCTGTAAAGGAAATGCAAATTGTTTTCCAAATTATGCAGCCACTGGGAAAACTTTATAGAATTATTTGACAGAATGAAAGTGGCTGCTGCTTCATTAAAGTTATAAAAAAAACTTTTTTAATTGAAGCTTAGATATTTCAAATTAAACTAACAGAATTACGCTTTGGCTTAGACATCAGTGGCATACGCGGCGTATGAGTAATATTAATCATACGCCACGTATGACTAATAGAGTTTAGTTTTTCATTGTCTTTCATTATTATTTTCTAAATATTTATGAAAATTAGTTTTACTTTAGGAAATCCACTCTTAAAGTTTGTTTTTCTTCACAAGCTGATTTAATATTCATCTAGATTCCTTTCATTGAAAACATGTAAATGTCTTCAATCTGATGATGTGCTCATCAACGTCAGCGGCCACACCTACAATCTGCATATACTATCTGGCACTTGCCATCATCATCATCATCGCAAGTGCTAACAAGACCAACACCACCAACAGTCCACCGCCATCATCCACGTCGTTATCATGCTCATAGCCAAACACATCTTTCCATTATTATTTCTTTTGCTCGTCGGCGCCCAGCTCTTGCTCCTCCTCCTGCTCCTGCTCCGGCTCCCGGCCCACTTCATATAGCACTTCTGGCTATTTTTATGCCATTTCTGCATTGTTCATTGTTTAGCGCACATTATCACATTTTCCTCTTAAGGCATCACCAGCAGAAATTACAGCAGCCACATCCACCTCCTCCTGTTTTCCATTCTGATCCCAGATCCATTTTCCGTCAGCCCATGCCATGGGCTGTATATATGTTTGGATACTAGGATATGATGGTTAAGACTTTTTGGGTTACCTGTTAAGGATTATCCTTTTTACCTAAATTAAGGTAGTCTTAAATATATAATTCTATATGTTTCACAGGCTTAACCTCTTGAGATTTATAATTTCAAATTTAAAAGGACTCGCTCTCCATGACCTTATATACCCTATTTGATCCTGGAAATTGCTGCGATGAGTTAGCAATGAAAAACTAAAACGATGATTCAGATTGCTGCCACACTTGCCTCACTAAGCTGCCGCAGCGGGTGGTGTGCGTGTATGGGTATGGGTGTGGGTGGTGGTGTGTGGCAGGCTGCTATCTCTCTCTCGGGCTTACAAACACTTGGATGCGAAGTGGCTTTTATGTGAGGCATGCTGCACTGGATACACGGGATTTTAGTTGGCAATGCCACTGTCAGGATACTGGCTTTGAATTTGAAAACAAAGGATCCATTGCGGCAGTCGATGGCGTTCTCTGCTCTCCTCGGCCCGCCATTGTCGTCCTTCGTCCTTATTGTTGTTGTCATTAAACAATTGTCGCCCGGCCGTGCACATCAGTAATTAAGTGTCTCTGTGCATTTATCCGAGTATGTTTGTATATCGAGAGGAACGTAATTATTATTTATAGATTCTATTGGCGTCTATTTAAGTAGAAACTATAAAGGACGAGGGCACCGGGATAGAATAAATATGTAAATGTGAAATACGCTTTTAGGTAAATGTTGTCCTACTTAGTCCTGTTTGTTGTTTACTGACCTGATGGTAATCATCTTTCACAAATAAAAGCAGGTGTTATTATTCGTTAAAAAAACACAAACATGTGTTAGATGAAATCAACTGTGTTTACCCTAGTTTTGTAATTAAACTTTAGTTGAATACGAATGTGGGAATAATATAATAAATTCTTATAATTTCAGATAATATATTGAACTAATAGGCTTCCATTTAGGCAATAACTTTTGAAGAGTAACTTCTTTGGGGTTTTAAATTATTTTTTTGGCTTAAAGATCGGCTTATACTTAAAGTACAAAGTACATTTTCTATTCTTTTATTTCTTGCCAGAGCTTTAGAACACCTGTGTGTGCTATTTCTTTGTTTTTTTAGAAATTAAATTTTGTTTCTAAGTAAATAGAAAAATTATATCCCAAAATTCAATGAAATTTATAAAATTTAAATACAAAATTTGAGATGCTCTTTGTTTTTTTATTAAAATCTTTAAAAACCTCTTTATAAAAAATATAACAAACATTCATTTTTTTAGTTTTTAAGACAATTTTAAATGAGTTTATTTATTTTCATTGCCCTTTTGAGAACTAAATTTTATTGAAATTATCGCGGATCATTAGCTTAATCCTTCTTAATCCTTTTTATTATCCCGAACGCCTGCGCTTGTTGTTGGCTGTATTGGCCTTCTTGGTTTGGGCCGCGTTTGTTTGCCTTTTCTTGGCTGACGCAACTGGGGTCTTCTTCACGGCAGCCGTTTGCTTCTTGGCGGCTGTGGCGGCTGCTGCTTGGCGACGTTTTGGAGCCGCAGTGGCGCTACGTTTTGGGGCAGCAGTGGTGGCGCGACGAAGCCTTTTTCCGCCGTTTCTCCTGCCGTTTTTCCTGGCGTTTTTCTTGCCGTTCTTAGCTTTTTTCGAGCCCGTCTTGGTGCCTGTAGTGGGTGAGTTGCTCGATCCATCGTCGTCTTCGCTGGAGCTTTCGTCAGACCCATAGTCATCATAACTGTAATCGTCGTCGGTCGAGGTATCAGAGCTGGTATCAGAATCATCTGCTCCTATGTCGTCGCCGGAGTCGTCAGCACTTGCCGCCGGGGCTGCCGGGACAGCGGCGTTTGCCTCTGTTGTGGAAGCTACAGATCCAGCTTCATTGGTGTCGTCATCGTCATAATAATTATAATCATCATCGTAATATTCCTCCGAATCAGCATCATCACCTGCCACGGCGACAATTGCCAAAGCCAATGCCAAGATCCACAGCAACTTCATTTAAAAAGGTGTTCAATAGACTTCTGAATAGAAATGACATTAATCCGGGGTATTTATAGCTTTTTTTTGGCATAAAAAAGTCAGGAGAATAATTTAACTTTTATTTTGAGTATTTATTTATTTGCCGAGCAAATATTTGGTTGCCAGTTTTTTAATTTCTTGCCAGAGGCTCTAAACACCTGTGTGTGCTATTTCTCTGTGTTTTTTTGGGAGCTCATTATGATAAATTAAATAAAACGAAAGCAGTTCAATATAAAAAGTTCAAATCTTAAGATATTAATCGCTTCCTGGCAGAAGTATTAATACAAACAAGGTAAAAATATATTGGAAATACTGCTATAAAATTTGTAATCATACAAGATACCTTTTATAGAACACTTTTGGGGGGCATTTCGGGTTAATAACACTCTCATTTAAGGTTTTTTAGTAGACTTTCTTAATTCTTATTTATTTAAGAATGTCTACCCGATCTTGTTTAAAAATAAACGTTTCTTGACCTACAAAATTATTCAGCCACTTGAAGAAATTGTTTCACATTAAAATATGTTTTTAAAGTCCTGTTAATACATGAGTCTGATGGCACGCAGTGCTTAAATTATTTATGATTATTTTAATAGAAGCCTAAATTTATATGTTTGACCCGTTTTCCGTGCAATTTCAGATTGGGATAACGAGCCGAAGACCCACCCAGATTTGAAAAGTTCGTGCCATAAATCTTAAACTTGCATGGAATTAATACCCAGCTCGGAGCAGAGGCATTAGTGTGAGCAATAGGCGGGCAGGAGGAGGAGGAGGAGGCCGGTGTGTGCTGCACATGCAACACACATTAGTGGGTCACTCGAAGATGATGACGCTGATGACCGCAACGGTAGAAACGGCACCGGCAGAGGCAGAAACTGCAGGAACGACCACCATTTTGCAGCAGCTAACGAAAATTATATAAAATTATCATGCAGGGCAGGCTGCTGGTTGGCTTGCCACTTGACAGCGGCAGGCGGGACAAGGCCTCCAAGCATTACTACTACCAGCACCAGCAGCAGAAAAATCAAAGGCAACGGCAACAACGGGTCGCATGACGTATACGTAATGTGCACCGGGAGTCGGCCAATTTGTCCAAAAAAATAGAGCCACTGAACCACTCAACCACTCAGCCGCTGAGCAAACGGAAGTGTACACAGAAACTCGAGCCAAAAACCAACGAGACGCAACTGCCGGGAACTAGCTAGGAAAGTTTGTGGCCGAATGGCGAAAGTTGACAAACAATTGCGAGTCTGTTGAGAAGCCGGTGCGAAAATGACAGAATGGCGAAGTTAACGTTGCCCTTTCTACTGCAGCGACTGCAGCTGATGGCGCTGCAACTGACGCCCCAAAACCAACAGCAACCAAACCAACAAAAGCCCGAACCTGAGCACGCCCAGAAGCAGCACGGCTGCCAATTGATGGTCATGCAGCTGGGTCAGGTCATGCTCCTCTACGGCTGCCTCCTGCTGCTCCATGCCTCCGTCTCGGTGTCCGTATCCGCCACGGCTTCGGATATGGTCACTGGGGTGGCGATGCCCGCGATGGCAAACCTTTCATCGGCTAAACATTTGGGCCAGGAGCAGGGCCGAAAGCTGGGGGAGAACCTGGTGGAGAAACGTGCTTGGAAACGTGAAGCTGCCAATGTGCCTGAAGATGACTACGATGCCAGTTATCCGGATGAAGTCGATGATTTGGAGGCCTTGCTTAATAATAAGTCGGGTGAGGTTTTAGATCTTAAATACTAATCCTTTTTCTAACAAAATATTACTCATAAGTCTCTTGGGTAACTTATTTTATCAAAGACAACAGGGCGTATGAGTTATATTTATTTAAGCCATTTAATAATGACTTCTGTTTTATGATTTTATTGAAAATATCCAACAAAAATATATCTATTCAGTGCATATTTCATTTTAGCTTTTAAACTTTAGCTAATCCCATCTGTTTTCTCTCTTATCCACTTTTAAAAATTAATATTTTCGGTTGCTGTGGCAAAATATATAAATATTTTGTTGATAATACTCTTAGCCAGAATTTCGCATCGCATCGAGCTTTTGCGGTGTCCCAACACCGAGCTCCTCTGAGATCATGGAAGCCATAAATTGCACAACATCCACTGGCCATGCTGGTCCTCCACTACGTCGTCCTCGTTCTCGTCCACGTCCTCATCCCCCGTTGTTGTTTAACTTTTATTTTTGGCACTCGCCGTCCACCTGGCACTGCATCTGCCGCAAATGCAGCTGCACTTGGCTGCTGTGCGATATGATTCATGGTTCATCCATTTTATTATGGCCATGATGCGGGAATTACAAAATACCACAGCAACTGCTCCGTACATTCAATGATGGGGGTACAGGGCCCAGAAGGTCCTGTTCGTGGCTCACTAGCAGCAGCGGATATTATTGGATTTTAATGGAATTGCATTGCATGTTTGGGCAACAAATGAGCTGATTTAATTTGCACAAAAATGCAAATTCCAAATACCAAACAAACAAATAAATAGATTGCCAAAATTGCAAATTATATCTGCTTAAATATGTATTGGGCATCATTTGGCATTTAAGGACTGACTGGGCTTGTTAATAACCTTATATAACTAATTCGTTTAAGGCCCCCAAAAAGACCCAAAAGCTCAACGAGCTCTAATTTATTGGGCACTTGTACATTTTAACTGCCTTACATTCTCACTTGCCGGGCTTAATTTCTCATGCAAATTTTTCATGGCGCATTGCAGCAAAGGGTAAATACATTGGAGCTCCGTGCAACGAGTTGAAATGTGACGTCAAATTGCTGCACGTGTCCTGCGACAAGGAGACTCAGACCTGCACCTGTGAGCGCAACTATCCCGTGCAGCTAGGACTGATTAAGGGTTGCGCCAAACGTTAGTATACTTCTCTTATAATATAGCTTAAGTTTTGATAGAATATTTTTTATGATTTTTTAGCTAAAAAGCTAGGCGATCAGTGTTTCTACGATGAGACGTGCATCTACAACGACGAGAACTCCCTTTGTGTTCAGGTGCGTCACAATGCGATGTGCCAGTGCGTCAGTGGCTTCCACTCGGTCAGTTATGTGAAGCCCACACGACGTGTCTTTTGTACACCAGGTGAGGCCAAGGATTCCCTTCAAATAGGGTCCTTCAACTTAATACCCTCTTAAAAGGATTAACACTTCCTTCCTTTTGTTAATTTCATAAAAAGATTACATATTTTTCCTGCCTCTAATCCTCTACAGACCTCAGTGAATTGAGCTCGGATTTACCCACTTTGCTAGGTGTTTCCACTGGAATTGCTGTCCTGGCCGGACTAATCTGCATGGTGTTGCATCTGTTTAGCAAAACAAAGTATCCGCGGAGTCGAAACTACGGAGATGCCAGCATTGCACCGCCCATTCTCTACTCCAGTGATACGGGTAAGAGGAGGAACCTTTGGGGTTAGGGTTTGGGGGATATTTAAGGGATTTTAAAGCTTAATTTCTACTAAAACTAAATAAAAACTTACAAACTTTACTATTTTTAGGAATACCGCTTACGGTACACTCGGCGCGTCCGTCTTCGCGGTCCAGTATTCGGTCGACGGGATCCATTGGCTCCTATGGCCACGGGCGGCGAGCTTCGTCCGGCGGACTGGGTGGAGGAGCGGCCGGAGGTGGGGCTGGCGTCGGCGGCGGAGGAGCAGGTAGCGTCGCAGGAGCTGGCGGAGGCTCGAAGGGCATCCTCGTGTCGACGTCTCGTACAGGTGCGGCTAGATCGGCCGCCATATTGCTCATATCGTGTCACATAGCGGCCGTGTCCAAACAGAATTCGCGTGCCTCGTCGCGGCATACATCCGGAGCCGGGTGCAGTCAGCACTCGCGGGACGATCTCGACGAGAACGGCAGTGGCGGTGGCGGGGGTGGCGGCGGAAGCGGGAGCGGGTGCCGCAGCTGCGAGAGCACTATCTCAATGAACCGCCACCTGCAGAAGCAACTTAACCACCAGCGGCACCTGCTCAGCTTCGAGCTGTCGCCGGGACGGTCGAAGAATCAGGATAGATTTAGGACCCTGTTGGGCATGAATGGAATTGATAATAGTGGGAGCCATGAGGATGAGGAGGACGATGAGTACGGTCCTCCCCCGCATAGCACAGAACCCAGCAGCACAGTCCCTCATGCACATGCCCGTCTGGGTGGTGGTGGTGTTGGCTATGTCGGTGTGGTTGGTGGTTACGGCGTCGTCGGCGATGCCGTCGACACCAATGGCGGCGACTCCAGCGGCGGCTACGCCACTGGCGCCGAGCTGCAGCATCTGCAAATTGGCGCACTGCCCACGCCGGCGAGTGAAACGCCCCGATTTGCGGTAAATCAACTCAATCATCCAACTCAGTCGCCGAGACATCACCTCTCATCACCACGTCCACATCCACATCCTCATCCTCATCCAGCATCCATTGTTCAAGAGTGTTGCCTGGTCATCTGCATTCACATTCGCATCCTTCTCGTCTCCACTTGAAGAGAAAAAAAAACAGTGACAGAACAGAAACAACAATAACATTTTGTGCTAATCCTAAATGTTCCGTTATTGCATCCGTTCTTATAATGGAAATGTCATTCAAAAGTCCTTTAAAGTTTAGAGATTTTATTTGGGTTTTAAATTATTTATTTTATGGTAATTATTGTTTGACTTTTTTAGTTATTTTTTTAAAGAAAGAAAATCTTAAGATCTTAAAGATCTTTTCTTATTTCTAATCTAATCTTTCTAAATTTTAGTATTTAATTATCGTTTTTTTGGTTATATTATTTTGATTCAACTTAAGTATTTAAGTCTATTTAACTAAGAACCCTTCCTTTAAGACATCTAAAATTCTTTCTCTAAAATTTCTTCATACATCAATGTATGATAATACATCTTCAGTATCCAAATACATCATTTTGCATACCTATCAGTGGATGGAAACACATTATAAACTCGTAAATTAGGCTCTTCATTCATTATCGAATTAATTGTGTTTGTTTACTGTGAGACCTTTGATTTCTGTACAATATTGGCGTTGGTAGACCCCAATCTCCTCTGCTTGTATACTTAGTATTACATTGAGAATTATTTCTAGTTGAAGACAAGACAACCACAGAACCATATTTTGTGTTTATATTTGATGATCGATGTTAAATGTGCTTCCGAGCTACCTTTGTTTCCAGTTACCAAATTGTTCAATTGTTTTTACTTACCCACACAACCACACCACACACAGACACACACACATACCAATACAGCTCTACACACATACACACACACAAGCACCAAGAGCAAAATAAATAATTAATTAAATATGGAGAGTGATTTAATGAAATCAACAGACAATTCCAGAAATGTAAGACCCGCAGATAAAGATTTCGACAAGATGATATTGAAGCAATATGGCGGTGACTATGTCCATAGGAAATCGTTTTTTTCCAACTTTTCCAACACCCCACAAAATAATCTAGCCGTACACGATTTTTTAGCAAATATATAATATAATATAATAATCAAAATATTGGAGAAAATAATACAAAATTTGACAAGCACACAGGAATCCCACTAACCCACATAATTGAAAATGCATGCATCCTGGCAGCTGGCTAAGGACACTTGTCTGCTGCCAGGATTCTTCGAGCCACTCAACCAAAAGGCTGACCTTTGCCTGAACTTATTTGGATGAGTCCCCAAAGTTTTCACCAATACACTAACACCACCCTCACACACACACACCCAAAACACACACAAATACGAATCGATAAACAATATGAAAATTTTCCTTCTATATATACTTATATATATATATCTATATAGGATGTATGTTTACCCCGCAACTTTATATGTGAATGTCCTTTGCTTCCTTCTTCTTCTTCTTAATCTACTCTTCTTCCTCTTCCTCTTCTTCTTCTTCTTCAGAGCCTTGAATTTTTAAAGTTGAAATAGCAAACAAACTTTGCCTGTTTGAAGTTCATGTTTATCTGCTTTCCTTCAAATAATGGGTATTATCTATTGAAACATTGGGAGGCAGCTTTTCCAGTTTTGTAAATAGAATTTTGATAATAGACATAGACTTTAGGGAAAGGTCAAGTAGTTGTACAACATGGCGTATGAGTAACATAATGCTTATGTAGGGAAATCTTTGAAGAGGTGAACTATGAGGGGTGTTTCATATTTTAATAGTATCTTACTTTACTTGTTTAAAACCCTCTTTTATTTTAAGGGGATGTTATTCGAAATTTTTGCAAAAAAAGGTAGATTATGAACAACTTAATTCTCAATAAGAATCTTTAGTTTAATGGGTAATAGGTTTATAAGAATTCTTTTAAAAAATTGTATTAATTATTTGAAGATGTGTATCAGACACCAAATTATGGCCTTTTTTTTAGGAACTAGCTTACAATTCTATTTTAAAAACAAGAGATTGCCTTTGTTTAGAAAACCTTTTTGTATGAAATATCTATTTATTTACTAAATAACAAGAATCAGAATAGGAAAATCTAATCTATAAAGCTGTGAATTCTAAAAAAGCTTCTATATTTTTGATACTCTGATACTCTAAATCTGTTTGCACTCGCTTTATACTATACTTTCCAATAAAAAAACGCTTTGGATTGAACTCTCGCTGTGGCTTTGCATCTCTGCTCCTCCGCTCCTTCATGTACAACTTTTACTATTTTTCTCTGACACGCCGTTTACTCCAACAAAATGCTTTTAATACATATTTGATTTTAAAACAGCAACCCCACATCCTAGAAATACTTGAAGATGTCCTTGGTTCTGACAGTCCTGGCATTTTTTGTTCCATTTCCAAATTGCAGGTTCTCGAAGACCAAGTCTAGCATCGGTCCACAGTACGAGCTCCTCGGTGCGCAGTTACAGTATGATGCGCTTCGAGAAGGAGGTCCAGCAGAAGGAGATCCGGCAGGAGATGAAGTTGCGCCTGGCGCGGCTCCAGCAGCAGCAGCACCTCACCCAGAACAAGCCGCAGATCATCATTGGGGAGGCGCTGCTCCAGCACGGCGCCCTCAGTCGCGTCACCATGGCCACGCCCAGCCCCCTAACGCCCAACTCTCTGGACGAGCTGCTGCCATCGCTGGATGAGAATCAGGAGGTGAGTTATGGCACCGGATGATAAATGGTGGCTGTAATTCATGTTTCGTACTATTTTTTCCGCCAGTATCCCCCCAGGCTGGAAACTACTTTTAAGCAGCTAGTACAGCCTCAGATTACGGGGGCAGGATCCACTGGATCTCCGGGAGCTGTTCTGCGCGGAAGTGCCGCCCAGTCGTCCCCCGCCAGTACGAATGGCTACCACGGCCCCTGCAGCTCCTCGACTGAGGCCCTCTAAAATTAGTGCTAAAGTTAGGCCCGAGTTGTAATTAGTTCGTAAGTCAATCGAAGATTTCTCATTTAATTTGCAAACTAGGAAATGGGCGCTAATTGCAGAATTGCTAATTAAATTGAATGCAAATTGGACGTTGAACGTGAAACGAGTGTGTGCTAGTTAGTCTAGGGTCTTGACTATAGATTATGTGTAACATAGTAAGTAGCCCCAAATAGGCGTAACTAGTGCATAAGTTTAGAAAAAATTCACATACGAGTTCTCAAAATAGGAAGCCTTTTGTGTGTATCATATTGCGTAGGGGGTGCTCTAGTTAATCGAAACATTTTATACGTGTGTGTGTATTGTCATACAGTTTTTTGTAGAAGTTATACAAGCAAGAATTCCAATAACAAATAATATTAAAAGAATAATAATTAGAGAGAGAGCCAAGTGAGGGGGAGTAAATACAAGTTAAGCCTTTGAGTCCGTAAGCTTGGCTTTTCACTTAGATCGACATGAATTGATTAGTCTAACTTAGTCTACAGTTTATCGTTAGTATGAGCACTAACCATACAGCATATAGACAACCCATTTCATACAACGAAAATGGACGCAAAAATTTCTTGCGACAGGCCCCAGCAGGCCCCAGAGCGGATTTCTTACGCTCTCATACGCTCATGGTTCGTTCATCTTACGCTCATTCTCTCATTAAATGTTTTCTGTTTCTCAGTCTCTAAACGGAGCGCGATGAAGAAGGTTGGCCTGCGCTTGGTTGATCTTCGTATGTATGCGTGTCACACATTCACATACATGGGTGTATGTGTGCGTGCGATTTCGTTTCGAAGCCAGCGCACAAAATTTTGATTTTTCTTACTTTTCAGGCTTGCTACCCTAACAAAATTCGGGTATTCGTTATTTGATGAAATGACGAAAGAAATTATATTATTTTTTATATTCTATTTTTTATTATTTCAGCATACATTTTTAATTTATTTAGGAATAAGATTGAGTGTTAGTAGTAAAATGTTTTCTGTATATATATTTTTACGAATCATTAAAAATCAATATACTGAGAATATGTCAGAGTATATTTCGGTCGGAGTCACTTAAACAAATTCGAGCGGCGACTTTTTTAAAGTTCCAAAATATATAAGGAAATTATTAAATTAACGACAATAATTTAATTAAATCTCACAATAACCCAAAATAATAACAAGTGCCTGAAAAATTGTAAACAAAAAAGGTAAACAAGTCCATGAGCTGTTTTCGGTTCTTCACCCTCCCCTAAAAATCATTCCATCGTTAGAGTAGGCATGCACAAGCCTCTTGCAAAACAACAAAAACTTAAAAGCAATCGGCGTTTTAAGTGACTCCGACTGAAATATACTCTGACATATTCTCAGTATATATATTTTTAATGATTCGTAAAAATATATATACAGAAAATATTTTACTACTAACACTCAATCTTATTCCTAAATAAATTAAAAATGTATGCTGAAATAATAAAAAATAGAATATAAAAAATAATATAATTTCTTTCGTCATTTCATCAAATAACGAATACCCGAATTTTGTTAGGGTAGCAAGCCTGAAAAGTAAGAAAAATCAAAATTTTGTGCGCTGGCTTCGAAACGAAATCGCACGAACACATACACCCATGTATGTGAATGTGTGACACGCATACATACGAAGATCAACCAAGCGCAGGCCAACCTTCTTCATCGCGCTCCGTTTAGAGACTGAGAAACAGAAAACATTTAATGAGAGAATGAGCGTAAGATGAACGAACCATGAGCGTATGAGAGCGTAAGAAATCCGCTCTGGGGCCTGCTGGGGCCTGTCGCAAGAAATTTTTGCGTCCATTTTCGTTGTATGAAATGGGTTGTCTATATGCTGTATGGTTAGTGGTATGAGATAGTACTGATATAATATACACAAGATGAATTTATATATATGATGAAATCGGTTTATACAACAGGTACATTGTACACGGAGTACATGCCAGTTCGTTCTAGCTAAATCAATAATTATGCTAAACCATCGCCACGTTCAAAGATCAAAAGATATGTATGGATAGTCTCAGTGAAGGATATAATTATGTTTAGTTGTTAGGAATAATTGTGGAAACGTTAGTCAATTTTAGTTTACGATTTACGAATTTTTCTACAGAGGCGTTTCAACCGAAAACAATAATCGAATAGGCGTAGCTGAAATTGTAAATGAATAATCCCGATTGTAACATAATTTAATATTTGATACCAAGGTTGTTGATCGTAGTTGATG